CACACACACACACACACACACACACACACACACACCCCCACCCCAAACAAGTTATGTTTCCACAATGGAAATGCCCATTTATTCTGTGTAGTTGTATCCTTTACTTTTCATTCAAGCCACTATCATTTCTTATCCGAATTACCATGACATAACCAAATAGGTCTCCATACCTATCTTGCCACCTTTCATTCAATTCATTTTTCACATTGATACCAGAGCAATATTTATATGGCACAGTAATCAAGGCTTTTCCAAGACAGATACCTTTCAATGGCTCTCCAATGACCTCAGGATAATGTCTAAAGCTTCCTAACATAGCTTAGAGACTTTCAAATCCCATCACAATCGGAACCCAAGAACACATTCCAGGTAGGTGGCAGACCCAGGAGGCAGGCCAGTCAGCTAGGTTCCCAGGCCACACTGCTGAACCACTACCAAACTGCTTCCCACTATGGCCATTCATCTGGAGCTCCCACACACTGACACCAACAAGCTCTATCTGCAATTAGGCCCTCAAGAAATTGTCTGCTGCTGCGTCTGGGGAAATTAAAACAACCCTAGTTTGGAGTCAGGTTGTGCTAAGTCAAACAAAAGGGCTCAAGCTGCCCTAAAAGGACAGGGAATAATATCAAAGTCTGAATTGATGATGGTGATTGTTTATTCCTGACAAACTTGTTGCTTTTCAGAGTTGCTCGCCCTGTGATTTAATCCTCTCCCTTCTTTCTTGCCTCCTTTGCCCTACTCTGCCACACTGAGTAGCTTGGCAGTCCAGCAGTGTCACATCTTGGTGCCTTTGCTCACCTTGCACCTTGCTCCCTCTGCTCTGAATATGCTTCCTCCCTGGCCGGTAGCTACAACTCCTGCTCAACTCTTATCTTCCTTAATCCACCCATCATCTCCTCCAGGAAGCATTTTCTGCCTCTCCCTGGGAAGTTGTGATCAGTCACCTTCCCCTGGACTCTCCCCTGCATGGATCTCTCAGGTAATTATCACATGCTTTTGTGTTTAATAGTTAACATGGCCGACTTCATTCATCCATGTGGCCACAACACCCAGCACAATATGTCACTCATAGTAGCTATTCACGAAAAAATTGGTACTCAAAGTCCACTGCTGTCAAACACAAAACAATGTGAAGAATATACTGTAACCAACTTCATATTGAAAATAATCATTCTACAGCACAGTGGAGAAAGAAGATTAGGCCATTTCTCGTGCTGCCTATCTCCCAGTCTTCTGGTATCCTGGCAGGTGACCAGATACGGACTGCTCTTTTTGCAAGGTAATATGCTGAGTAAGGAAACTAAGAAGCAATAAGAACTTATTGATCTTGTCTTCTTTCATTGGAAATAAGGAAAACACCTGAAATAGGCAGAAGAGACCACACACAACAGGAGACTGGGGGGTTTGTCCAAAAAAGCAGCTCCTCTTCTGGAGGACTGAATGAGACTTGCCTGAAATTTGATACATGTTTCCTTCTGCTATCTCAAACCATTTGGTAACTACCTTTGAGAAGGCAGGTCTCCCATGCACAGCACTGTCTGCTTACAAAACCTTCTCCTTGTGAGACTGAGTTGTTCGAAAAATTGAATGTTTATTTTAATTCATGTATTCTCTCTGCCTAGCATCGTGAGTTCTCATTTTTACTTTCTCTAGGTTTCATACCTGTCTGGATTTAACCCTATCAACCTCAAACTTAACCTTGTTTCTCCTTCTCTTCATTTTTAGTTTTGTTATCGTCCATGTTGCACCCTATTCATTTTATAATTCTATGTTCCTCTATTTCAAATTGCTTTCATTGTCTTCTTCAACTTCTAGTTGTGTGTGTGTGTGTGTGTGTGTGTGTGTGTGTGTGTGTGTTTGAGATGGGGTCTCACTGTCACCCAAGCTGGAGTGCAGCGGTATGATTAGGGCTCACTGCGGCCTTGACCATGGGGGCTCCAGTGATCCTCCCCCCTCACCCCCTTCAGCCTCCCAAGTAGCTGGGACCACAGGCGTGCAACACCACACCTGGCTAATATTTTGTGTGTTTTTTTTTTTTTTTTTTTTGAGACGGAGTCTCGCTCTGCCGCCCAGGCTGGAGTGCAGTGGCCGGATCTCAGCTCACTGCAAGCTCCGCCTCCCGGGTTTACGCCATTCTCCTGCCTCAGCCTCCCGAGTAGCTGGGACTACAGGCGCCCGCCACCTCGCCCGGCTAGTTTTTTGTATTTTTTTTTTTAGTAGAGACGGGGTTTCACCGTGTTAGCCAGGATGGTCTCGATCTCCTGACCTCGTGATCCGCCCGTCTCGGCCTCCCAAAGTGCTGGGATTACAGGCTTGAGCCACCGCGCCCGGCCAATATTTTGTTTTTAATATTCTGTAGAGGTGGGCTCTCTTTATGATGCCCAGGGTGTACTTCTAGTACTAAACCTATTCTAAACATTAATCTTTTTTTAAAAAAACGTCCTTTCATTTTCTTCTTATCACCACTGCTCCCTAATCCCATCACCCTCCTTCAAAATGAACGTTTTAATGATCGGTGAGATGCAAGACTGAAGTACTGGAAGCCCTGCAGAGTCAACACAAACAGCGGAGACAGATCCTTCCTGGCCCTCAGCTGCCCCTGCCCTAGCTTTTTAGGTACCACAGAAAGACCATCCTGAGCAGAGCTCTTTAAACAACCTTCCTCTTGGAGGCAGGAGGAACTTTTTCCTAGGCTCTCAGCTCCAGCCGAATAGTATATTTAATTTTCTGGTATTTAACAGATGTCTATATGGATACTGAATTAGTGTTCATACAGAGGCAAACAAATGGGGCTTTTGTGAACCACAAATGTGAGAAGACAGAGAAAATTCCTGCATTCTAATGGGGAAAGATACAGCACAGAAAAGATCACTTTAAAAAGGTCATTACAAGAGGGATTTGAACCGGGTTGTATGTGTTCAGCCTGAGTTGGGGGGTTCCAAGAAGGTCTCTGAAGCGGTAACATTCTAGCTGAGTTGGCAGAAGAAAGAGCCCTTTTAGGCAGCAGGTCAGGGGGAGAATGTTCCAGGGCTGAGGGAACAGCAAGCACAGAGGCCCCAAAGTGGCAGAGTTTTGTTTGTTTGATGAGAAGAAAAGCCTTCCCTCCCTCCAGTCATTTGTTAATGCTGTCAGAAAATTATACTGCTTTCCTCCAGAGCACTTCCCTTGATTCATAACATATTTGTTACTATTATGTTTCCGTTAATGTCTGCCGCTCCCAATACATTTTAGCAAATATCTATTGGTTGCCTACTGTGTTCCAGGCACTGAGCACTTAACAATGAGCAAAACAAAGTCCCTGCTTATCTTCCTGCATGTACGTGTGTGTAAACAAATAGTGAAAAAGGATCAAGAAAATAGGAATGGTTTGTTATTGCCTACCAGAGTAATAGCACCAGACATACAAGACCCATATTTGTTGAATGAATGTTCCTAAGAAAAGAAATGCAACGTACAAACTGTACGTGGAATAGAATGCTAAATATAATTTGGACATAGACACACATGAAGCACAATAAAGTCAGAAGGAAATATACCAAAATATTAAAAACAGCCTCTTATTTTGTTCATTTTGCACAATAAGCATGTATTTAAGCCTGTATTTTTGACTTTTTTTTTTTTTTTTTCCCAGACAGGGTCTCACTCTGTCATCCAGGCTGGAGTGCAGTGGCATGATCACAGCTCACTGCAGCCTTCACCTCCTGGGCTCAAGCAATCCTCCCACCTCAGCCTCCTGAGTAGTTGGGACCACAGGCATACACCACCATGCCCATCTAACTTTTGTATTTTTTGTAGACATGGGGTTTTGGCATGTTGTCCAGGCTGATCTTGAACTCCTGGGCTTAAGCAATCACCCAGCCTGGGCCTCCCAAAGTGCTGGGATCACAGGCGTGAGCCACTGTGCCTGGCCTAGCATGTGTTTTTAAAAGTATTGATTCCATTCAATGAAATACAAAACAGTGGGATAGGCCTTAAGCTTTAGTTTATGAGCTGTGGGGGAAAAACAGATGAGCATTATTTGCCTTCCTTTGTTAGGATATTAATTTCTCACTAGGTTTGGCTACCAGTGTTTTTTAGGTTGCTTCACACCTCTCAAATATGACTCAAAGTAATGAAAAGAAGGAAAACAATGTCAAAACGCCATTAGGTGATGGAATCAGATACTGTCTATGTTGGTTAGGAACAGAAAGATGACTCATGACCCACCCACCCCCACAAAAAAAGCAGCCACTTAAAATCCAAGACCAATATGATCTCAGGCAACACGGAGTCTGTTCCCAGCAGGCACAAAAAGCATGGCGCGCCCTTACCACCTCTCTAACACCAGGCACTGAGAGCCTGCTCTCTCACCCAGTATGCCCTTCCCAGACCCAGAGTCCGCGCGCTCACTCCATTCAAAGCAAACAGTGAGCTAGCTGTCTTGCCCACAGTCAACTCCGCACACAGGCCACTTGCGCACAGCACGCTCCCAGCAACACGTGGCCAGGCCCCTCTCACCCAGCCCAGTCCAGCACATGGGGCACAGCAGACGCACTGCAACCCTTATCGCGGGTACTGTCCAAGCCCTAATGAACACCCCACTCACCAAGGCACCAAGGGAACACAGGGCAAACTCTCACCACGGGCACAGCACGGGCCCTAGCAACACTTCCACGCACCTGTGCACTCCAGAGCAAGCCCTCACCTGGGGCGCCCAGTCCGCGTTCCCCTTGCTGATTGGGCTCAATCACGAAAACGCGATTCACGCCTTTTTTGGGGATGCAACCAGATCCTGCGTAAATACCGGCCGCGCACACCACGCCACCAAACAAGCTTCACCTTGGGCTCTGCGTGGTTCCCGCATTCGCCGCCACATATCCCCGGGATCTGAGCACTGCACCCCTCGGAGAACCCTGGCCTCTCTCTCCATTCCAAGCCCGCACGACGGCCTCCTGCCCGACTGACTGAGCAGAGCTCCAGCCTCGCTGCGGACGCGGGAACCCGCCCCCAGGTCCTACCGGAGAAGGAGGACAGCCGCAACACCAGGGCCGCCAGAAGCAACCCAGGAAAGCGCCGGGAAGGAAAAGGACGCTCGAGGCGGACGGGAGGCGCCATACGCGATGCGGGAGACCCCGTAATTTATCCGGAGGTGAGCAGAGAAACCGAGAGCCAGTCGAGCAGGGAAGTCCCTTCTGAGTCCGGTTATTGGACACAACAATCCCCAAACTCACAAAGTTTCCAGGGTGCTTGACAGGTGGGCGTGGCCTGGGCGCTTGGGGTGGAATTGAATGTTGGCACCGGGGCGGCTGGGGCCAATCGGCGGGCCGCGGGGCGGGGCCTCGGCGAACAGGGGCAACTCGTTGGCCTTCGAGGAGAAAGGGCGTGTCCAGAGCCCTAGCAGGGGGACACCGTGGGCCAGCGCCCGTCAGGGTTAATTTTACCCTGGGGCACTGCAGGCTTTCAGGACCGACTAGCCCTTACTTGGTATTTTGCATTAGTCAGGCATTATTGGGAACAATATTTGAGTTTTTCTTGCTTGAATGCCTGCTACTGTGTCGTCTCGGGGCCGTCTTGTTTTCACAGTCTCAAAGGGTTGGCTTCTGCACTCCCAGCCGCTAAGGTAATTTGCTCTTTGCTTCCCTCCCTGGAGAGGACCCGTCAGAATCTAATTTATTAAGCAACACCAGGCCGTTAGCATATTGAGACTGTATGGGGCCCCTGCCCTTGAGCAACTAAATGTTTTATTGAAGACGAAATATGCATGCATGAACAATGTAAGGACAAGGGTGTCCTAAGTGCCAAATTCCTGGAAGCAATGAATGCAGGAGGATTGGGATGGGTAGAAATTGTTAGGCGAAGTGGATAAGGGGGAGAAGTTTTCTGGTGAAATAATCTCAGGAACAATACTGGAAAATTAAGAGTGAGCAGGATTGATTTGCAGGGTTCTGAGTAAACCAGTATGACTGGTAAAAGGAAAAAAAAGGGAACATGACAGGCATTAAAAGAGCAAACAAAAAGAGTTGACATCTCTTCCCCTCAGACTGGCAAAGAATTAAAACGTCAGCCAATGTGAGTGAACGTGTTGCAGGGGGACTAGCACTCTGTTTGTAACATAACTTTTCAGAATGTTAAAAGTCTTAAAGTGGACATGACTTGTGTTAGGCTATCAGTTCCCAGAGAAATCATTAGAGCTGTGATCAAAGATTTATAATTTTTGGAAAAAAGTAAACCCTAAGTGTCTAGCAAAAGTAATAAGGAATTTCTGGTAGTTACCTTTGCGTGATGGAATTCTATGCAGCAAGTATTGCAAAAGTATACCAAATATGACAAACTATGATATAATTGTAAGTGGAAAAAGCAGAGTCCAAATTGGCATGTGCCTTTTGGCAGTCCTTTTATTAAAACAAAAGTGCTCTCTCTCTATATATATATGTATAAAATAGTTTGGAACACAACAAAATTAACAATGGTTGATAACATTATAGATATTTCACTTTCCTTGTGCTTTTCAGTTTTCTTTTTCTTTGTTGACCCTATGTTACGTTTAGAATAAGGTAAAGAAAATGTGTTAAAAAAAATCAAACCTATGTATCAGTTGCTGTTTTGTTCACGGAGTTATGGAAGTAGAACTTGTATTACACAGGGTTTGTATGAGAGGATGGTGAGAAATTGGATGCTCAGTGTATAAACCTAAAATAGGTCTTATGGAATTATAGAGTTTAAATGTATTTAATACAGTTCTATAACTGAGATGTACTGAAGACTTTCTGGGTTCACCAAACCATGGAATTTCCTCTTCCCAAAAATTTTCAAAGTTTTGGCAAAGAATACAATACATTGAGTGTGGTAGTATATCAAATAAACATCTTAGTATCTTGGATTATAAAATTCAGGCACTCCATGACAGTAATTAAAGGAGGTATAATTAAGGGGATAGTGAATAGGAAACTCAATGAGAGGAAATTATTATTCCTGTTAATGTATGGCGTGAAGGAGCGATATGACAGACATGTTCTGTGGTTCAATGCCAGCAATTATTTGTGAAAGTAGGTAGTCTATTCACTGTTCTCCACAACAATAGATATTAAAAATTCTCCATTTATTTTCAGGCTTGGAAGAAAGATGCCTTTTTCTCATGAGAAAAATTATTATAAAGTATAGAAAAAAAATGTGGCTATTATTTGATTTCCTAGTTTCAGGTGTCAGATTAAACTCAAAGATTGGTATTTTATTGAAACTTTCTTTCAATCAGTCAAATTTCTATCCCTGAGGTTAATCAAGCCATTCTTAACATACTCAAAGACTTTCACATTACATTTATGAAACTAATTTTTATTTGAGTTAACTGAAGCTTCATTTGAATGGTTCTGAGCCTTGTTTCCTATTTTTGGGGATGAGTTCTGTAAGTCAGGGATAGAGTTTTCTTATAATATCTCCAGTGCCAAAATCTATAATAGGCGTACAATGAATAGCTGGTAAATATTGGATGAAATAAATGGTTCTTGTGGTCAAGTGCACTTAACATGTCTCTGCCAGTTCTCCTCCAGCATGAATTTACCAAATGTCCAGAAAGTTCTGAGAGATTTTGATTTAAATAATTTTAGACCCTAGAAAACAAATCGAGATCTGTCTGTAAAAGGGATGAACTACAATTGTCTGCACCACAAACTTTCCTTAATCAGGTGTTGCAAGCTTACTTGTGAAGTGGAGCTGTGGTCTATCCCTTAGCCTTGAGATCATTTTAGTGACTGAATTCAAAGGGAAGGTGTCGACAATGAACTTCCTGAGGCCTTAACAGGGGTAGAACTTGAAGCCACAGTTTTGAATGAAGTGGATTTAGGAGATTGTTTCCTCCAACTCCCCCTAAAGATTTTGTCAAACTGCCAAAGAGAAGAAAAGGAGAGAATGGAGGATATGTGTGTTTGTGGACCAGGTTTAGAACCATGGGATCTCCTTTAAGGGGCTTATGAAGGGCAGTGTGGGTGGAGGCTGGTGTGCGGATATCATTAAACTGTGGTCAACTCTTTTAAAATTTGATGTTAGGGCTGGGCACAGTGGCTCATGCCTGTAATCCCAGCACTTTGGGAGGCCGAGGCAGGCAGATCACGAGGTTGGGAGATCTAGACCATCCTGGCCAACATGGTGAAACCCTGTCTCTACTAAAATACAAAAAACTAGCTGGGCATGGTGGCACACACCTGTAGTCCCAGCTACTCAGGAGGGTGAGGCAGGGGAATTGCTTGAACTCGGGAGGCGGAGGTTGCAGTGAGTCAAGATCGCGCCACTGCACTCCAGCCTGGTGACAGAGCAAGACTTCATCTCAAAGAAAAAAGAAAAAAACAAACAAAAAAAAGAACCATGATACATGTTCTTTGCCTCCTAAATTAGTATACTGTATTTACATTATGCTTTTCAGGAGCAAGTGTAGCAGCATGAATGACCCTCTATTTACACCTGACAGCCAACTGACCTTTATGTTTAGCTGTGTCTGATTTTCTTTCCTGTTACCATCAAGAGCATGTCTGTGGCATTACACATCAACACAGGGATTATGAAAACAATCAGGTACAGAACTATATTCCATAAGTAGATTTGCAAAATAAAGTATTTTATTCCCTTCTCATTATAATGGTAGAGACAGAAAATTTCATTTAAGCATCATAAACTTTATACTACACACTTAAGTGTGCCAGAAAAGCAAGCAAAACAAAGAATATTAGGACTAGGAATAACTTCAGAGGGCAATTGGTGTCCAGTCCCTGCTTTTCAGATGAAAATGTAAGGTCTCAGGTCAGCAGAATTGCTTAATAATACAAGTTAGGCAATATAGTATTTTACTAATAGTTAGCATATACAGTATTTCTCATTATAACTGATGTAATAGAAAAAAATCTTTTGGCTTTCTTGCAATTAAAAAGTTACAGGTGAGGTTGCAGTAAGCCTAGATAGCACCACTGCATTCCAGCCTGGGTAACAAAGCAAGACCCTGTCTCCAAAACAAAACAAAAGTCACAGGTATTGCATATTTATTAATCACATTGCTCACTGACCTACTCCATTTTGGAAAAAAAGAGAACACAGGATTTTTTTTTTCTTGTGATGGGAAATTTTAATTCAAAAAAGACCAATTCCTAATCACGTTGTTTCTAGTCTTCCTTTAAAAGTTACTTCTTCAAAATCCCAAGAAATAAAAGAGATTTGCTAAAGATCCAACTAAGCAAAAGTCCTGTCAAGTATATTTACATATATTCACCACCTACTTGCCCTTCTTTCTTGGTGACCTAGCTGTATGTCCTTTGCCCATTTTTGTGGGGTGGAGAGAAGTTTGGTCTTTGAATTTTTAAGTACTCTCTAAACAATAAAGCAATTAGCCTTTGTGATGTAAGTTGCATTTTTTTTTCTTGCCCTTTATCAGGTGATTTTTTCTTAAGCTGTTTTTTTCCCCTCTCTTCCATGATTTTAAATTGAAATTCAGGTTCATGTCTATCTTACTCCTTATATTGCTATCAAAGTAAAGGTGGCAGAATTCACCTTTAAAGCAACTGTTAAACAGAATTACACAGAAATGAGCAGTAGTCATATATAAAGCTATTCTTAAATATCCAGAAATATTCTGATGTTAGCATAGCCCATAATAACATAGCCCATATGTTAGCATAGCCCATAATAACATAACACATTTTAATTCTCTAAAGATGTGGACAGGTTGAAGAGCACAAGCTCATTTATTTTAAAAATATCAGAACATATTATTTTGATATATTTTTAAAAATTTATGTTTTAAAAAGTTAATTTAGTATATTCTGAATCCATACAAAACTAAGCTAGTTACTTTTGTAATAACAATTATTCTTTCATTTCAATTTTTATTATGTTTTTTATAAAGAACATAGCAAAAAGTGCTTTTGAAATAAAGCTTAGAAAATATCCAAAGCTTATTTTCCAAATATTTCTCTTGAGTAGTCTTAACCACCCTTCCCATAATCATTTCATGCCTCTCTAGTAAATTAATTTTTCTCCCTAGAGAAAGTAAAAACTGATATAGCATATATTTCACTCCAAACTGTTTAAAAGACTAGGGTTCTGCTCTATAAAATAAAAGGAAACTAAGGGGAGAAAAGTACATGTGTAAAAAAACACATATGTGAAAGAAGAAAGGCAGAAAATGAATCAAATATTAGGAGTGGTTATCACTAGGTAGCATAATCATATGTGACTTATTTTTCATAACTTTCTGCATTTTCCAAGCTCTCCTTAATGAGCACATTCCATATTACAAATATTTTAAAAAAGAAAAATGACCAACTTATAAACCAGCAATTCCAGGCAACACCTTATTCCTTTAAGTAATTCAAACCATTTTCTATCTCCTAAAAGCAGTCTTTTCCCCTGACTAGGTACTGTGTGCGTTTAGCACGAGGCAGAAGGGTGGGGGTTTCACAGTGATGCACACAAAGAGGGGGGAACTTTGCTAGGTACTGGGGAAGCGGCAGCATCTTCAAGTGCACGTGTCTGCATCTCTGTGAAGTCACTTCAAAGACTTTATGAAGCTCAGATCTGATTCTGTTGAAATCAATTGGCTCCTTTCCAACCAAAATTGTACCTGGAGATGTTCTTCAGCTGTATAGTACTTTGTCAAGGAAGGACACTGAAATAACAGGATGTTTTCATTTAGTTAACAGCATGGTCGACAATTGAACTACCCAGAATTTACAGGCTGATAATCGTGATGCTAGAATTTCCATATAAATTACAAGGTCATTAGAAGTGTTTATTGCCCTCTGTGATGGCTGCTGTGTAGGACACAGAAAGTATGGCACAAATGGAGACATTAGTAAATAAGAGAGAGATTAATGATTAACTTGACCTTTTCCTTTTTTGTGTCCAAAGAAAAAGTGTTCTCAGAGTTGAGCTACTAAATAAAGAGCCTCATTCCATTCTAGAAAACGTACAGGTCACCCATAACAGAATAAATGATTTTTTTGAGTCTGTTGTTCTAAACCATGTTGGTAGCAGGGGGCAGAAATAGGAACTGGTCATCTTGGAGGGGTCAGCATCAGAAAGCATGTCCTTCTCTTCTAATTACAGTTAAGAATGAGCTGCAGTAGTAGATTTAGTACAAGGTATCCACATGCTTCCCCAGCTGTGCTGGAGCTTCTCCTTTTAAGGCCAGGAATGGTGTCCTTCCACCAACTGACAGACCTCCTGATGAGTCCCTCCAGTTTATCTGCTCCCCAGTTATTACTGCCACCAGATTCCTCATCTTTGTTCTCCTTCCATCTCACAACACTTCCCAGCATCACCTGTTACCTGTATTCCTCCAAACACTTTCATGTCCAACACACAGCTATGTCTTTGGAGCCTGCCTCTTTACTCCGCCCCAGAACCTGGGTGCACAAGGTCTTAACGCTTGCACAGATTCTAACTCACTTCTTGACTAGCATATTTTGCTACAGATGATTCACTTTGTTCCTGTGGAACACTGTGGTCAAAATTCCAACCTTAAAAGGGAAAGTTGAAACAAAATTTTTAAGTACTTTATACCTACCAAAAAGTGATCAATAGTCAGTGTACACAATTTGAGGTGTACTTTGATGTAAGAGTATTTCCAAAAACTTGAGGATAAATGAAATTTTCATAATTTCATTTCTCGATTAATAAGCTCAGTTGATTACTGAACATTTCTCCTTTGATTATCTATACTCAGAGATTGGGGAGATCTTTAAAAAATTGTCTCTATTCATCAGAAGTTAATTTAGCATGGAAAAGAAAACACATAAGCACAATGTATGGCACATTGTAAGTGGCTAAGAAGGTTTGAATAGTAGATGAAGCAAGTACATGAATGCAATAGAGTTATCAGGCAAAAAGACAACACATGAAATGTCAATAACTATAGGTTATGTAGTGTTATAATGATGGGAGAAATGTTTGTCAGTTTGTAAAAAAAGCAGAATTCAATATTGCGCAATCAATATAATCTCAAGGTGTATATGCAAATGTAAAATAATATGCAAAGATGCTTAAGAATACTACTAGGTAGAGATTATTGCAGGTAATTTTTACATTTTTAATATTTTCTCCTATTTCTTGTTTTTAATAATGAAGAGATATTACTGTTAAAATAGTTTATTTATTTATTTTTTAATACTTTAAGTTCTAGGGTACACGTGCACAATGCGCAGGTTTGTTACATATGTATACATGTGCCATGTTGGTGTGCTGCAACCATTAACTCTTCATTTACATTAGGTATATCTCCTAATGCTATCCCTCGCTGCTGCCCCGACCCCACGACAGACGCCGGTGTGTGATGTTCCACTTCCTGTGTCCAAGTGTTTTCATTGCTCAACCCCCACCTATGAGTGAGAACATGCGGTGTTCGGTTTTTTTGTCCTTGTGATAGTTTGCTGACAATGATGGTTTCCAGCTTCATCCATGTCCCTACAAAGGACATGAACTCATCGTTTTTTACAGCTACATAGTATTCCATGGTGTACATGTGCCACACTTTCTTAATCCAGTCTATCATTGATGGACATTTGGGTTGGTTCCAAGTCTTTGCTATTGTGAATAGTGTCACAATAAACATTCGTGTGCATGTGTCTTTATAGCAGCCTGATTTATAATCCTTTGGGTATATACCCAGTAATGGGATGGCTGGGTCAAATGGTATTTCTAGTTCTAGATCCTTGAGGATCTAGAGGCCACACTATCTTCCACAATGGTTGAACTAATTTACAGTCCCACCAACAGTGTAAAAGTGTTCCTATTTCTCCACATCCTCTCCAGCAACTGTTGTTTCCTGACTTTTTAATGATAGCGATTCTAACTGGTGTGAGATGGTTTCTCATTGTGATTTTGATTTGCATTTCTCTGATGACCAGTGATGATGAGCACTTTTTCATGTGTCTGTTGGCTGCATAAATGTCTTCTTTTGAGAAATATCTGTTCTTATCCTTTGCTCACTTTTTGATGGGTTGTTTTTTTCCTTATAAATTTGTTTATTTGTAGATTCTGGATATTGGCCCTTTATCAGTTGAGTAGATTGCAAAATTTTTCTCCCATTCTGTAGGTTGCCTGTACACTCTGATTGTAGCTTCTTTCGCTGTGCAGAAACTCTTTAGTTTAATTAGATCCTATTTGTCAATTTTGGCTTTTGTTGCCATTGCTTTTGGTGTTTTAGACATGAAGTTCTTGCCCATGCCTATGTCCTGAATGGTATTGCCTAAGTTTTCTTCTAGGGTTTTTATGGTTTTAGGTCTAACATTTAAGTCTTTAATCCATCTTGAATTAATTTTTGTACAAGGTGTAAGGAAGGGATCCAGTTTCAGCTTTCTACATATGGCCAGCCAGTTTTCACAGCACAATTTATTAAATGGGGAATCCTTTCCCCATTGCTTGTTTTTGTCAGGTTTGTCAAAGATCAGATGGTTGTAGATGTGTGGTACTATTTCTGAGGGCTCTGTTCTGTTCCATTGGTCTACATCTCTGTTTTGGTACCAGTACCATGCTGTTTTGGTTACTGTAGCCTTTTAATATTGTTTGAAGTCAGGTAGTGTGATGCCTCCACTTTTTGTTCTTTTGGCTTAGGATTTACTTGGCAATGCAGGCTCTTTTTTGCTTCTGTATGAACTTTCAAGTAGTTTTTTCCAGTTCTGTGAAGAAAGTCATTGGTAGCTTGATGGGGATGGCAATGAATCTATAAATTACCTTGGGCAGTATGGTCATTTTCACGATATTGATTCTTCCTATCCATGAGCATGGAATTTTCTTCCATTTGTTTGTGTCCTCTTTTATTTTGTTGAGCAGTGGTTTGTAGTTCTCCTTGAAGAGGTCCTTCACATCCCTTGTAAGTTGGATTTCTAGGTATTTTATTCTCTTTGAAGCAATTGTGAATGGGAGTTCACTCATGATTTGGATCTCTGTTTGTCTGTTATTGTTGTATAAGAATGCTTGTGATTTTTGCACTTTGATTTTGTATCCTGAGACTTTGCTGAAGTTGCTTATCAGCTTAAGGAGATTTTGGGCTGAGACAATGGGGTTTTCTAAATATACAATCATGTCATCTGCAAACAGGGACAATTTGACTTCCTCTTTTCCTAATTGAATACCCTTTGTTTCTTTCTCCTGCCTGATTGCCCTGGACAGAACTTCCAACACTATGTTGAATAGGAGTGATGAGAGAGGGCATCCCTGTCTTGTGCCAGTTTTCGAAGGGAATGCTTCCAGTTTTTGCCCATTCAGTATGATATTGGCTGTGGGTTTGTCATAAATAGCTCTTATTATTTTAAGATTCGTCCCATCAACACCTAATTTATTGAGAGTTTTTAGCATGAAGGGCTGTTGAATTTTGTCAAAGGCCTTTTCTGCATCTATTGAAATAATCATGTGGTTTTTGTCTTTGGTTCTGTTTATATGCTGGATTACGTTTATTGATTTGCATATGTTGAACCAGCCTTGCATCCCAGGGATGAAGCCCACTTGATCATGGTGGATGAGCTTTTTGATGTGCTGCTGGATTTGGTTTGCAAGTATTTTATTAAGGATTTTTTGCATTGATGATCATCAGGGACATTGGTCTAAAATTCTCTTTTCTTGTTGTGTCTCTGCCAGGCTTTGGTATCAGCATGATGCTGGGCTCAAAATGAGTTAGGGAGTATTCCCTCTTTTTCTATTGATTGGAATAATTTCAGAAGGAATAGTACCAGCTCCTCCTTGTACCTCTGGTAGCATTCGACTGTGAATCCGTCTGGTCCTGGACTTTTTTTGGTTGGTAGGCTATTAATTATTGCCTCAATTTCAGAGCCTATTATTGGTCTATTCAGGGATTCAACTTCTTCTGGTTTAGTCTTGGGAGGGTGTATGTGTCCAGAAATTTATCCATTTCTTCTAGATTTTCTAGTTTATTTGCCTAGAAGTGTTTATAGTATTCTCTGATGGTAGTTTGTATTGGGTCAGTGGTGATATCCCCTTTATCATTTTTTATTGCGTCTGTTTGATTCTTCTCTCTTTTCTTCTTTATTAGTCTTGGTAGCGGTCTATCAATTTTGTTGATCTTTTCAAAAAACCAGCTCCTGGATTCATTGATTTTTTGAAGGGTTTTTGTGTCTTTATCTCCTTCAGTTCTGCTCTGATTTTAGTTATTTCTTGCCATCTGCTAGCTTTTAAATGTATTTGCTCTTGCTTCTCTTGTTCTTTTAATTGTGATATTACGGTGTTGATTTTAGACCTTTCCTGCTTTTCCTTGTGGGCATTTAGTGCTATAAATTTCCCTCTACACACTGCTTTAAATGTGTCCCAGAGATTCTGGCATGTTGTGTCTTTGTTCTCATTGGTTTCAAAGAATATCTTTATTTCTGCCTTCATTTCGTTGTGTACCCAGTAGTCATTCAGGAGCAGGTTATTCAGTTTCCATGTAGTTGAGCAGTTTTGAGTGAGTTTCTTAATCCTGAGTTCTAGTTTGATTGCACTGCGGTCTGAGAGACAGTTTGTTATAATTTCTGTTTTTTACATTTGCTGAGGAGTGCTTTACTTCCAACTATGTGGTCAACTTTGGAATTAGTGTGATGTGGTGCTGAGAAGAATGTATAATCTGTTGATTTGGGGTGGAGAATTCTGTAGAAGTCTATTAGATCCACTTGGTGCAGAACTGAGTTCAATTCCTGGATATCCTTGTTAACTATCTGTCTCGTTGATCTGTCTAATGCTGACAGTGGGGTGTTAAAGTCTGCCATTATTATTGTTTGGGGGTCTAAGTCTCTTTGTAGGTCTCTAAGGACTTGCTTTATGAATCTGGGTGCTCCTGTATTGGGTGCATATATATTTAGGATAGTTAGCTCTTCCTGTTGAATTGATCCCTTTACCATTATGTAATAGCCTTCTTTGTCTCTTTTGATCTTTGATGGTTTAAAGTCTGTTTTATCAGATACTAGAATTGCAACCCCTGCCTTTTTTTGTTTTCCATTTGCCTGGTAGATCTTCCTCCATCCCTTTATTTTGAGCCTATGTGTGTCTCTGCACATGAGATGGGTCTCCTGAATACAGCACACCGATGGGTCTTGACTCTTTATCCAATTTGCCAGTCTGTGTCTTTTAATTGGGGCATTTAGCACATTTACATTTATGGTTAATACTGTTATCTGTGAATTTGATCCTGTCATTATGATATCAGCTGGTTATTTTGCTCGTTAGTTGATGCAGTTTCTTCCTAGCATCAAAGGTCTTTACAATTTGGCATGTTTTTGCAGTGCCTGGTACCGGTTGTTCCTTTCTATGTTTAGTGCTGCCTTCAGGAGCTCTTGTAGGGCAGGCCTGGTGGTGACAAAATCTCTCAGCATTTTCTTGTCTGTAAAGGATTTTATTTCTCCTTCACTTGTGAAGCTTAGTTTGGCTGGATATGAAATTCTGGGTCGAAAATTCTTTTCTTTAAGAATGTTGAATATTGGCCCTCACTCTCTTCTGGCTTGTAGAGTTTCTGCCGAGAGATCTGCTGTTAGTCTGATGGGCTTCCTTTTGTGAGTAACCTGACCTTTCTCTCTGACTGCCCTTAACATTTTTTCCTTTATTTCAACTTCGGTGAATCTAACAATTATGTGTCTTGGAGTTTCTCTTCTAGAGGAGTATCTTTGTGGCATTCTCTGTATTTCCCGAATTTCAATGTTGGCCTACCTTGCTAGGTTGGGGAAGTTCTCCTGAGTAATACCCTGCAGAGTGTTTTCCAACTTGGTTCCATTCTGCCAGTCACTTTCAGGTACACCAATCAGATGAGATTTGTTCTTTTCACATAGTCCCATATTTCTTGGAGGCTTTGTTCATTTATCTTTACTCTTTTTTCTCTAAACTTCTCTTCTCACTTCATTTCATTCATTTGATTGTCACTCACTGATACCCTTTCTTCCAGTTGATCAAATCAGCTACTGAAGCTTGTGCATTCGTCACGTAGTTCTCATGCCATGGTTTTCAGCTCCATCAGGTCATTTAAGGACTTCTCTATACTGGTTATTCTAGTTAGCCATTTGTCTAATCTTTTTTCAAGGTTTTTAGTTTCTTTGTGATGGGTTCGAACTTCCTCCTTTAGCTCTGAGAAGTTTGATTGTCTGAAGCCTTCTTCTCTCAACTTGTCAAAGTCATTCTCCATCCACCTTTGTTCCATTGCTGGTGAGGAGTTGTGTTCCTTTGGAGGGGGAGAGGTGCTCTGATTTTTAGAATTTTCAGCTTTTCTGCTCTGTTTTTTCCCCATCTTTCTGGTTTTATGTACCTTTGGTCTTCGATGATGGTGACGTACAGATGGAGTTTTGGTGTGGTTGTCCTTTCTGTTTATTAGTTTTCCTTCTAACAGTCAGGACCCTCAGCTGCAAGTCTGTTGGAGTTTGCTGGAGGTCCACTCCAGACCCTGTTTGCCTGGGTATCAGCAGTGGAGGCTGCAGAACAGCAAATATTGCTGAACAGCAAATGCTGCTGCCCTATCATTCCTCTGGAAGCTTCATCTCAGAGGGGTACCCACCTGTGGGAGGTGTCAGTCTGCCCCTACTTAGGGTTGCCTCCCAGTTAGGCTACTCGGGGGTCAGGGACCCACTTGAGGAGGCAGTCTGTCCGTTCTCAGATCTCAAACTCCATGCTGGGAGAGCCACTACTCTCTTCAAAGCTGTCAGACAGGGACATTTAAATCTGCAGAGGTTTCTCCTGCCTTTTGTTTGGTTATGCCCTGTCCCCAGAGGTGGAGTCTACACAGGCAGGTGGGCCTCCTTTAGCTGCAGTGGGCTCCACCCAGTTCGAGCTTCCAGGCACTTTGTTTACCTACTCAAGCCTCAGCAATGGTGGGTGCCCCTCCCCCAGCCTTGCTGCCACCTTGCAGTTTGATCTCAGACTGCCGTTCTAACAATGAGCAAGACTCCGTGGGCGTAGGACCCTCCGAGCCAGGCACGGGATATAATCTCCTGGTGTGCCGTTTGCTAAGATCATTGGAAAAGCACAGTATTCGGGTGGGAGTGACCCAATTTTCCGGGTGCAATCTGTCACAGCTTCCCTTGGCTAGGAAAGGGAATTCCCTGACCCCTTGTGCTTCCCGGGTGAGATGATGCCTCGCACTGCTTCGGCTCATGCTTGATGGGCTGCACCCACTGTCCTGCACCCACTGTCCGACAAGGCCCCATGAGATGAACCTGGTACCTCAGTTGGAAATGCAGAAATCACCCGTCTTCTGCGTCACTCACACTGGGAGCTGTAGACGGGAGCTGTTTCTATTCAGCCATCTTGGAACCGAAAAACAAAATAAGGTGATTTATTTTTTAAACGGTGTAGTCAGGAAACGTGAGTTTCAAAGAGAGACACCATTTTGGACTAGAGTTATTTGGGAGAGCATCTTGGTTGATTGAATTCTGAGCTGGGTTCAGGGAATTTAGATAGAAAGAAAGGTGGAAAAGTGTTTTAGGCAGGTAATCTGACAGGAATGAGGCTAAATCAAACAATTTATCATTGTGGAATATTTTTAAAATGGACTCTTGTAAAAATGGTTGTTGTTCTCACAGTCTGCTGTTATTTTGTCTGTTTGTAAATGGGTGGCCACGCAGCTGGCTCTGAATCAGTTCTGCCTGACTTTTCCCCCACGGCACTCTGAGAGTAAAGGAAAATGAATGCCTCACCCAAGAACTTTGGAGATATAGGTTAAAGCATCCCTGAAAACACAATATTTTCTATCTTATTTTATCTTAAACTTCCTGCATTATTTATTTGTCTTTTGCTCCCTTATAAATGTGTTTGTGTTAATGTTGAAATAATACAATTTTTATTTGAACAATTGGAGTAACACTAGAAAAATATATTCTCTAGGAAACCATGCCATTTTCATCTTATGATTTTTATATCCCATTGGTACATTAGCATTAACCATGTATCCCCCAGTGTATACAAATGCCCATCTGAGAAGAATCAGGACAGACGTTAAAGCTTCAAAAAGTAAAATACCAATCCTGAATTTCAAAAAAGCATTGCATATTTTATTTGTTTTCATAAACAGTAATGACAGGTAAGCTAGAAGCAAAGCGACTAGGAAGACAGATAATAAATAGGGCATTGCAAATTCATTTCTATTATAGGAGAAAATAGGACATAATCTGTAATTTTTTGTTTAGAAAAGTTTGAATTGCTTCTACTTATATTGGTTAACTATAAAATACCTTTTTCCACTTCCTTTCCTTTTCTTGTGGCCCCTTCCACTGTCCTCTGTTGAATTTAGGATTTCTGATGTGTGTAGGTATAACATGCCAGGTTTAGATTAATGCGCATGTATATGAGAAAGAGGTGGGACATAAAGAAAGGAAATTTAGTAATGACTGTGGTGCTTTTGCTTCTGCTTTCTACAGGACTGGCCTAATTCTGTTCTAGGGCATATGATGATCTTGTTCCTGAAAATGCCCCGAACACCTATGGGTAGGACATTTTAGGATTCTTGGGCATAGCCATTTATTTGGCTCTGGATGTTAAAGAAAAATGGAGTTTTGTATTTGCAAGAAGCCCGAGAGTCTAAATGCCTGTATTTACTGCATACCTCGAGAATGCAGTAAAGATTTGAACAAAAGAGGGGAGCATCCACTGAGAGGGAGAGGCCTGGGAAGAGGATGGAAAGCCCAGGTTAAAAGGGGAACTAGCCAGTGAGAAATTTCTCATAGTATGATATAGTTCAGGGGTTAGCAAAGTCTTCCACTAAAGGGCCAGATAGTAAATACTTTTGGCTTTTGGGGTCTCTGTGGCAACTACTCAGCTCTGCTGTTGTAGTATAAAAGGGAGCCAGAGACAGTAGACAAACGAATGCATGTGGCTGTGCCCCAGGAAAACTTTATTTACAAAAATAAGTGGCCAGCTGGATTCGGCTCACAGGTGGTAGTTTTCAGGTCCCTGGTGTGCTAGCTATTTTTTAGTTCAGTGATTTCTAATATTGATGTATACCACTTTCGATTATGGTATAATTTTTCTTTTCACCCCAAATCTTCAGCAATATGTACTACACAACAGCTTGCAGTAAGCCTGCTTTGAATAGGTAGAATGAAAGGTTAGGCATTTAATAAGCCCAAGGGAGTGAGGACCAAAAGAAGGGGCAGTCAAAGAGGCCAAATGAAGTAGAGAATTCAGTGGAAGTCAGAAATCAAGGGGGTTGGAGGCTGGGGAGGTAAAGTGAAAGTCTCCAGAGGACATTAAAGTGACTCTGTGCATTTAAGGGAAGCTGGAAGACTTGGAGGTACAAACAAGCAGCAAATGCTTGGGTTCCACAAGAAAAAGAAAAGCATACTACTTCTCAAAGTTTCATAGCATAAATCCAGGAAATTACAGGAATGCTTTGAAAGAGTAGTGACTGTCACTGCACTGACTTAGAGTGATCACCCCAAATCAGTGGAAATGACAATAATCATCCTATAAAAAAATAAAGAAGTTTCCAGCTCCTGAAGTACTTTCTAACTTCTTTGGTATCAATAACCTTCCTAGTACAATATCATGTTCAAGTCTTGTTTCCATTTTTGATATTTGAGTTGTTGAAAACATTTTGAATTCAGTATGTATATAGGTACCTGCTATTTTCTTCATTTGTTTGCAGAGTTTGGGGATGGACGCTGCTGCCTCCTGGAGAATGTATATGGATAGCCACTTCTTTAGGTTTTTCATGTGCATTATTGCTAATTGGCAGAGTAAAAAAAATAGAAAAACTGTCTTAATCGTTTAAGTATCTGTTTTGAAAGAAATTAGTAATTTGCATTTGGAAATTTAAGGTATCATTTGCCTTAAGTTCCTGATGTCTTCGCAAGATGTCTGAAAGGAAAATCATAACCAAATCTCATCTTTTAATACTAAGCAAAAACTTAGATTAGAAAATAATACTAAAATCATCCTATATTTTATGTCAGAATACTCTAAATTGTTTATAGGCAGATGTCCATGCCTTAACGCATTTCACTATTTCTGACATAATTTTGATTAGTAAATAGGGTTTTACATCAAGATTTTGACACTTAAGCTGCACAACATGAATGACTTTGCACTGCAATGTTACCCGAGGCTTCCTTTTTCTCCTATAGTGAAGATATGTGTTCTGTTTTCTGTACAAGCAATACCCACAGTTAGGGGAGCAACAGTAGCTGTCATGAAGGTATTTAAGAACTGACAGTAAAAAGTAATATTTACTCACTTTTGAATATCAGTAATAACGATCATGTGTAAATAATAGCTAACATTTTCTGACATGCATCATAAGTGAGGCACTATGTTAAATAAGGTAGGAACTATTATTATCTCCATTTCACAGGCAAGGACAATGAAATTTACTGAGGATAAGTATCTTGCTCAGGGTCTCATAGAGCGTAAGTGACTGAACACAGGCCTTAGCAGTTGCAAATCCCTCGTCCTCACTTGGTATGGTACCCTGCCTCTTTGGGGGTTAATAAACACTTCATCTTTTATCAGTGAAATGATGAAACAGTACCAGTACCTGGAAATGTTATGTATGCATTGGTATTAGGGATTTAAGAATGGAAGCTTGAAGAGTTAACTCACTTCAACACATACTACTATTTCCTCATCACTCAGTTACTCTTTACCCTCTTATGGAAATTAGAATGACAGCGTCATTTGAGAAAAAGAGGCAGACTGCTTCAGGGGACAGAGTTTTCATAGGATAGGGAAGGCACACTTGAGATCCACGGGTGAGGAAGAGTGGAGGGGTATGTAGCCAGGTGGTGTGACCTTCCAACGAGTGGTGATTAAGTGGCAAGATGAGTAATGTTCTGAAAGTGGTCTTGGGTGATGAGTGGCACGTGGGGTTTTGGAGAATATGATCTTGGTGAGTATATGTTGAATGAAGAGTTATCTGATTAGTTACTGGTGGTTAATGTGAATAGAGGAAAATTCAGGGAGCCTTAACAGAGGATGGCCTTAAGTAGTTTATCACTCTAAGCATCATAACAATGGGAACTTTGAAATTTTGACTGCGGACAAGGCTGTTTTGTGTAGAAATGGGAGTGGGTACGAGGCAGTAACAAGAGGCAATAATGGGCTCTGAATGAAGAAGTCTACCCAGTATGATTCCTCAGTGATCAATGCATGACCTATCTTATTTGACATTATCACAAATTATTGTTGTAAATACACAATGAAATATCAATATGTGCAGGCAGCATATTTTTAACTAGTGAAATATCAAGGCAGTAAGATTAAATCACCGGAAGAACTTGCCAAGTCTATGTGAAAGGCCAGGAAATCTCAATACGGAAAGATGCCCTTAAAGAAATACCTTAATGTTTCATAGCCAAATAACTCAGAATATAGAGTAACAAAAAGGAGAGATTGCATACTGCTCTCTAGAAAGATACTGGTTCAATATACCAGAGTAGCTAAAACAAATTCAGTAAAATATAGGGAGAAAAAGAATATTGAAAGAAAAAAGGAAAATACTTTAGGTTTGTACTATATACAGTTCTGGATACTGAATTTCAGTAATATAGAGTCAGATTCAGAAATGGAAACTAACGTTGTCAAAACACTAGCACAAAGATTTCGAATTAAATAATCCAGACTAAAGGCCTAATTCCTAACAACTTCCTACTGCTTTTAAACAAGCCACTGAATTTCTTTGAACCTAAAGTGTTTATGCTTTGGGATAACAATACGATTGGGCCTACGTACCTCACAGAGTTGTTTTGAGGACCAAAGAAGATAATAAATGGTAAATAAATCTATAAATAAACATGTTAACTGTTTTTGTAAATACATTAACCGTTGCTACTCTTATTAATCTTGACTGCTGTACAAGTAGAGATTAAAAAATCATTAAAAAAATTGTTTTGGGTGGATATAGGTGGTCCCTGCTCACAGGGCCTCACAGTCCAGGGAGCAGGGATGGTGAGGAGTATAGTGGAGACCAAGAAGTCAAGAGATAGTGGTAATAGAGAGTGGAAAGGCCAAGGTGGAGGGCGCAGAGGAAATGGGCAGAGTAATCAGGTATTCTTAATCAGAGAAAGCTGAGGATTGAGAAGGCACACGAAATCAACAAGTAGTGATATCGTTTAAGCAGATGTGCTTACTAAATTCAGTGTTGGTACAATGGACTGAATGTATCCTTCCAAATTTATATGCTGAAAATTTATAGGATCCAATTACTACAGGATCTCAAAGGTAGGACCTTTGAGAAGTAATTAGATCCTGAGAGCAGAGCCCTTGTGAATGGGACTAGTGCCTTTAGAAAAGAGACCAGGAGAGCTCCTTCACTCCTTTTCCCTGATGTGAGGATTGAAGTCTTTTAACTAGAAAGCGAGCCTCACCAGACACTGAATGTGCAGTTGCCTTGATCTTGGACTCTCTACCTACCAGAACTATGAAAAATAAATGCTTGGTTTTTAGAAATGAAATAATGATTTTTAGGAACAGGGTCTTGCCATATTGCTCAATGGCAAGTGGGCTCAAGCAGCACTCCTGCCTCAGCCTCCCAAGTAGCTGGGACTATAGGTGGGTACCACTGCACTCAGCTTAAATGCTTATTGAATCCACCCAGTCTATAGAAGTTTTTGGTATAGCTGTCCAACTATATATACCAACAGACTGAGACAGTTGGTATATTAGAACAAGGGGCAGCCTTGAAACCTGGAGTAAGTTTAGGACAAGTTAAAGATGCACCATTTAACTTGGTAGAGAATTAGGGCAGAAATTTCCCCTCGTGGTAACACTCTTAGTGGTGTTTAGCTCACTCATTCATTTGATAAATATTTATTGAGACTCTTTTTGTTCCAGGGACAGTTTAGATTTGTTATGTATCCATTGGCGAAGATAGGACAAAAATTCTCGACTTCATTGAGGGAGAGAGAGAATAAACATGGGATGTAATTATTTAATTAACTATAATAAAAGAGGATAAATCTATAAAAAAATAAAGCAAGATAAGAGAGATTGGGAATGTGGGGGTGGGATCATGTCATCTTTACTAGGATAGTTAAAGTAGGCCTCCTTGAGGAGCATTTTAAAGAAGGTGAGATCATTTCTGTGTGTGTATTCCTTCTATTTCTGTCTCATTTTAGTTTCTTTTCTTGTTTTTTTTTTGTTTGTTTGTTTTTCTTTTTTTTTTTCTCAGATGGAGTTTTGCCTTTGTTGCCCAGGCTGGGGTACAGTGGCACGATCTTAGCTCACTGCAACCTCCAGCACCTGGGTTCAAGCGATTCTCCTGCCTCAGCCTCCTGAGTAGCTGAGACTACAGGCATGTACCACTACATCAGGCTAATTTTTGTATTTTTAGTACAGAAAGGGTTTTGCCATCTTGGCCAGGCTGATCTCAAACTCCTGACCTCAGGTGATCCACCTGCCTCAGCCTCCCAAAGTGCAGGGATTACAGGCCTGAGCCACCACGCCCAGTCTCATTTTAGTTTCTTGCTAAGTCTTTAGACTGCTCATGCAGCTTCTGAATTGTCTCCAGTGTTTAAGATAGACGTCAACCTGAATCTCTCCAGGCGTGGTGTGATAGTGGCTCTCCCATAAAGCAGGCCATCTTGTTCTATTCTACACTATTCTATCTCCGTCAGTCTTTTTCAGCTCCAGGATAAACAGCTCTTCTGACTTGAGGACCACTACGATACTCTCCACTCATATTATGCATTTCCCACATGGTTTCCTTCTTCTTTGCCATGAGGACCTTTATGCCCTTGTGTTTCTGTGAGGAAAGCTTGAGCTCCAGATAAGGAATAATCAGCCCTCCTCACGTAGCCACAACGACTTAGCTATTGGCCACACCCACTCAAGGAAGTATGACTGCATGATTAATCAGCCCAACTCCTTCCAAGAGAAGGGACCTCTGCCTTCTGATTATTTAAGTTTATTACTTCTTTTTCCCAATTTTAGCTATGTGTTATTTCTAACAAGAAAATCAATGGTGTTTTGTTAGAGAAATGCACTCACTATCCTGAAACCACCTTTGCAAAGATTATGAGCGTGAAAGAAATCTAACACGGCTGACTTCATCTTGCTTCTAGCCTTACAGGTGGGCTGGCTTTGCTCATTCCTGGGTGTAGGCCAAGCTAACCATGAAAGGAATTTAGTTTATAATTTAACTTTGGAGCAAGGATAATAACAGTCTCTTCCTAAGACTAGCTCCCTCCTTGCTCAGGACCTGAAAGCTAATGAAAGGCCAAGAGTTTAGGATTATGAGAAGAACCTGAACTCTGCTAAAATATAGGCATGGTTTTTATAATCCATTACTGCTCAGAGATTTGTGACTTCCCTAATTGTTCCTATAGATAACATCACTATTATAGAATGTAAGATTGGTCTTCTGAGATGTTTTTCAGGTTTTTGCATTTGGCAACTGACTGACTCTACCTGGACCTGTGACTCATGACTCAGCTGGTCCTGTGGCCCCCAACCAGAGGTGGATACAGCACATGAGGACCATTTCCCACACCCCCATCCCCCACCAATCAGCAGTACCCATTCCCTAGCTCCCTTCCTACCAAACGATCTATAAAAACCGTAGCCCCTGTGTTCTTGGGGAGACTGAGTTGAGTGATAACTCCAGTTCTTCCACATGACTGGCCTTGTGTTAATTCAACTTTCTTTACTGCAATATACCAGGATCTCAGGGAACTGGTTTTGTCTGTATGACAGACAGGAAGAACCCTTCAGGCAGTTACAGTCCCAAGAAGTGAAACAGGCCGAAAGTAAAAGCTTAGAAAATGTTTAAAAATTTTCCTGGATTACACATATATAATAGGTTTTAGTGTGGGTTACATAGATGTTTAGGAGGTTTACCTCCCTGACCTTTAAGTCTAAGAAGGATCATGATTTTTCTTTCTGCCACATTTCTGGTAGCCACTGGTCAGAGAGAATGGTTGTGCCATGGACATTACACTTTAAAAGAATATGGAAAAAATAGGAGGCAGGTTTTACGAGATGGAAAACGTGAAGAAATGGTATATGCTCTGAGGTTGCTTAGGCTATACAAGATAATCATTTCAAAAGAAATAATTTTATGAAATGGTTATTGAGTCATGTTTATGCCTGAAGATGATTAATATGAGGAAATGATCTTAAAATATGTGGGTGAAACAAATCACTAGTTAGGCTTGGGAATCTGACCCTTTAGTTGATTAACAAGGAATGGGCCATAAGGAATGAAGAATGACATAGTTAGAAGGGTGGAGATAGTCAAATATCTTCAAGATATTGAAGTATCTTGAATATTTTCAAGAGGAAGAGATAATCATTTACCCTGTGTGGTTTCAACCAGAGACTGGTATAGATACAGGAAATTAGAAGCCCCAACTTCTTTAATTCAGATTTAGTAATTTTTTTAAAAAAATTAACTCACTAATATATGGTACTTAATGAGAAACTTTAAGAGGAAAAATGTATTGACACAAGTACTTTGTTAAGATAAAGTGCCCAGCTACTTACTTTTCCTTTTTGTAATGGAGAAGAGCAAAGAATATATGTCAAGCCGTAAAATATAGAGAACATTAGTCAGGAAGGATAAAAATTTAAATTTAAATCTCTACTCATTCAGTATTTTCCCACAAAATTGAGTTCCTGACCAGGTTGTTGACAGCAAGATCTACTATGACAAACTACTTTTTAAAAAGTATATTGGCAGCTTTGTGACATATCAAAACTTCGATTTCTGTAAAGCTTGTTGTAGGGAACTGCATTTGTTTAGAATATTTGCTATAGAAAACTGTTCACTTAAAAGTTACAAATTCAGTTTTTCTATGGGTATACAATTTGCTCATCAACTATATAACATTGATATTATTGATTCTGGCTTCACTGATGTTGTTATAATTTAATCAACCAGTTTAAAAGCTGTGTAGGTTCTTTTCCCTGTCAAAGATGTTTCTTTATTCAGATCTTAGTCTTTGGAAGTTTTTTTTTCTTTCAAGTTTAAAAAATTAATGATGGCTGGGTCCAGTAGCTCACACCTGTAATCCCAGCACTTTGGGAGGCTGAGGCAGGTGGATCACTTGAGGTCAGGAGTTCGAGACCAGCCTGGCCAAGATGGCAAAACCTTTTCTCTACTAAAACTACAAAAATTAGCCTGGTGTAGTGGCATATGCCTGTAGTCTCAGGTACTCAGGAGGCTGAGGCATGAGAATCGCTTGAATCCGGTTGGTGGAGGTTGCAGTGAGCCAAGATCATGCTATTGCACTCCAGCCTGGGTGCAAGACTCTGTCTTAAAAAAAAAAAAAGTTAATGGTGTTTACAAAATATTTGTTTATATATTGAAATACTCAATGGAAAGTCTCAATTCTTCCCCACTGGCAGGCTATGTGTGCCATATGATATGTGTGCCATAAGTGACACAATCTAACTTCTAGTGCTATGATAGGACCTGGGCTTAGAGGGAGGTGTCTGCAATGTCTTAGCAAAACTAGGATATCATAGCCTCATGAACAACTTTTTAAAAACTCCATCTGCCTACTTTCTCTTTCTGTAAAACTCAATTCCTTCTTAAAATGCTGTGTGTGTGTGTGTCTCTGTGTGTGTGTGTGTGTTTGTGTGTGTGTGTGTTTTGAGATGTAGTCTCACTCTGTTACCCAGGCTGGAATGCAACGGCACAGTCTTGGCTCGTTACAACCTCTGCCTCCCGGGTTCAAGCAATTCTTGTGCTTCAACCTCCTGAGTAGCTGGGATTACAGGGATATGTCCCACTTCTCCCAGGTAATTTTTTTGTGTTTAGTGTAGGGTTTTGCCATGTTGCCCAAGCTGGTCTCGAACTCCTGGCCTCTAGTGATCTGCCCACCTTGGCCTCCCAAAGTGCTGAAATTACAGGCATGAGCCACCACACCTGGCCCAAGTGCGGTTTTTTTTTTTTTTAATTGTTCTTAGTATCCTATATACTTCCTTTAGTGCGAATACCTCTTTGTCTATACTGTGTGTCAAGGATCTTCTTTATAAGAATTACCACATCTGTTTATGTAGCAATGGGTTTGTTTGTCTTTTACTTTCTTTTGACTTCCAAGCAGGGGTAAGTACAGTTTACATTTCTTGGGATAATATGGCTATACTTACCCTTTTCTGTACTTTAGAATTATCCAAGAGAGGAAAATGATGAATAAAATAACGAAGATCATACCAGATAAAGTGCCTAGGCAGTAAAACAAGGTAATTACATGCATGGAAAATATAACTCATAGGTTTTAAATTCTGTCTTAGTATCCAGTCCCACTATAGATTGCCAATGCTTTTTTTTTTTTTTTTTTTTTTTTTTTTTTTTTTTTTTAGATGTAACTATACATTCTGCTTTACTCTGGGTTTCTATAGTATTAGTCTTACTCCCACAGGGTTATTATAGTTAAGGTGTGATCTGAGCTGTTTTGTAACCTTTAGTCCAACATCAGCTTTTCCAAAAGTAAGTGAGAACTGCGATGGGGCAGCTGGCCACCAGCTCTCCATGGCCCTGCCCGTGTGTCTTGCCTAAGGCTTAACACACAGGCATTTCATTGTGACAATACTGGAATTTTCTCTCTTGTTGAATTATATATGTAGGTTCTTTGTCCATTTATTGACTGTTAAAATGCACAATCTCCACAGGTAGGTAGACCCAGGCTACCCCATTCTGTGGTCTTGGGCAAGTTACATAAACTCTCTGTGTCTCAGTGTCCAGATGTGTAAAAAGAGTTGTAGGAATAATATGCCACAGTATTCTGTTGGAAGCAGACTCTATTACAAAATGATTCTTATTTAGGCAGACCAAAGATATGGGCTCAGAAGACTGGTCTTGTGGCTTTCTATTTGTGCAAATGAGCAGGATCACCATCTGGAAGCATACTTCAGGTTACAACTGAAGGAAGTTGCATTCTCCCAGCACATTCAAATAAAGAATTTTTGACACTGATGAATGATTATTCATTTGTAATGGTTCAAAGACAGTAAAGAGCCTTTGATGAAGGTTGTTTAGTATGCATATGACAATGCCAGTTTCACTATCTCGTGGCCTAACTTATCATTATTTTCTTTCTAGTTGAACTTACAACTCAAGATATTTTGATCTCTTTACAACTCAAGATATTTTGATCTCTCTTTTTGCATTTCATTTATTATAGGTAGGTACTTACTGTTAAAGATGCCAGAATTCCTCAGCAAACCTTTCATGAAACTTACCAACTATTAGAGCATCACGTGTACCTAAAAGGAAGACAAAAGTCACAAAAAGTCACTCTAGCATGCAATGTGATTGAGCAGGACCTCTCAGCCAGTGACAAGTCATTCTAATTTTTCTCCAGGACTCAGTCTAATATTTTTTCTAATGCAAAAAGCCATTGGTTTCATTCACATACTCTCATTTTACCTTCTGCACTCAGAGAAGACTTTTAAAAATTAATATTAATACAATTACAGAAGAAAATTTATAATACAGAGCTAAAGAAAAAATCACTTCAATCCTAGTACCCAAAAAATGTTTTGATACATTCTGTTCTGGCACATTTTCTTGTGTGTGTGTTTTCACCTAATTATATACTAGAAATATAAGTTACAACAAAGGCTAACTAATATAATCTAGTAGATGCATCATAGTGTATTCAATGGCTTCTATTCTGCATTTAAGTTGTTTCTAGGTTTCTGTCTCATGAGACCCTTAATAAAATGCTTAATAAAATATTTTAATATTTTATATTTTTCCTTAGATTAGATTTCTAGGAGGGCTAACTGGCAGGAATAGTTGTATTATTTTTCACATACATTGCATAATTGTTTTTCGTAAGAGTTTTTGCAAATTTACAATAGTACCTTCAATGCACAACAATATCAGTTTCATCACATCCTTGCTTTTCATTGGGTGTTCACCTAACAACCTTTTTATTGTTAATTTAATGGACAATTTTTAAAGAATGTTTTGCTCTTGTCGCCTAGACCAGAGTGCAGTGGAGCAATCTCAGCTCACTGTAACCTCCACCTACTGTGTTCAAGCGATTCTCCTGACTCAGCCTCCTGAGTAGCTGGGATTACAGGCATCTGCCACCATGACTGGCTAATTTTTTTATTTTTTAGTAGAGATGGGGTTTCACCATGTTGGCCAGGCTGGTCTTGAACTCCTGACCTCAGGTGATCCATCCGCCTTGGCCTCCCAAAGTGCTGGGATTGCAGACATGAGCCACCATACACGGCCCCTTTATTTTATTAATATCAATTTCATTCCACTTATGTGTATGTCTCTTCTTGTGCTGGTGCAAAGTGACTTTTGTATTGTTGCTTTATATTTTGTTCTAATATTTGATACAGTTGGTTCCCCAACTATCTGAGTTTTCTGTCAGTCCCAGCCAGATCTTCAGAATACTCTAAAGCCATTTAGTAAGTTGTCCAGTGAGATTTTTGCCAAAAAAGCGAATATAATTTGATATTAAGGGGGTGTCAAGCTGGTAATTTAGAAATATTATCCGTGAGTCATATTAGCATATTTACAGGATTAATTGTAAAACTGGATCTTGAACAATCTTGGTGTAGAACCATGTATTAGAAGAGTCATAAGAGATGGGGAGAGGGGAAAGTGTAACACTAACTTGGATTAAGAAAGGCTGTTCATTATTAATTTTGCTCATCTGCTCCACGATGTGGGTAGAATTTTCTATCTTGCAGTACCTTTCAGTTGCCAGCAGAGGGCCACTCTTCTACACAGTTCAATGATACATGATGTGTGCTAGCTGTGCTAGCTTAAAATCCTGTAGCCTACAGTGGTGAGGGAGACAGGCCGGCTGCTCTCTGCAGCTTGGAAGGTGCTCCCTAACTCATGCTGAAAACATTTCTTTTAAGGCTGTAGGCTGTAAATAAATCATTACTGTGTGGCTCATGCAACCACGTGACATAGACAAAAAAGGTGCAGAGCTGGAGTGAGAGGTGTGAGAAGAGAAAGTCTGGCCTTACTTTCATTTTGGGATTTTTGGAAGAGGTGGACGCTCATATTGTACTCCATAGCTGGTAGCATATGCCATAAACATCACACCACACTTGATGCCAATATGGATGAATGAATGAGCAATAACCATGAACGGGAAGGTCCCACATTCCTTGTACTTGCACTTACGAGAGGTACATATGGCCAGAGGAGGGTCCCATCTGTCATCCGCCTGGCACTGGCTCCAGGGACTGCCTTCCAGCGCATACCCATCTTCACACTCCAAAGTCACATAATCTCCATAGTGATACACTTTTTTCATTTCTAACTCCTTTGAGATTCCATTCATAAACTGTGGGAAGCTACAATTTACCTCTGAAATTAGATAAATCAAAAGGAAATTGATATTTTATTGTTGTTGTTGTTTTGTTTTTTTTTTTGAGACGGAGTCTTGCTCTCACCCAGGCTGGAGTGTAGTGGCACGATCTCGGCTCACTGCAAGCTCTGCCTCCCGAGTTCACGCCATTCTCCTGCCTCAGCCTCCTGAGTAGCTGGGAGCACAGGCGCCCACCACCATGCCCGGCTAATTTTTTTGTATTTTTAGTAGATACAGGGTTTCACTGTGTTAGCCAGGATGGTGTCGATCTCCTGACCTCGTGATCCGCCTGCCTCAGCCTCCCAAAGTGCTGGGATTACAGACGTGAGCCACCGCGCCCGGCCGATTGTTGGTTTTAACTGCAGAATAGACGGATCTATGACTGCAAAACCTATTTTGCCCTTAGCTAAGAAAAAGCATGTTTTTAAACATGTTACTAATCTTCCTTCTCCAAAAGCCTTATAATTTAACATGTTTTGACTCCCATTTCTTAATGTAAAGTAATAGAATATGGAATGTACTCTGCATTCACTTTTGATTAACAGCTCTGCAACTGGAAAGCTGTGGAAAGATTAGGAATTAGGCTAACGGTGATCTAGCCCTGGAGCCACTTGGGTCATGCTGTAAGGAAACAAGAGTACCATGTTAATTCTCTCAGGCTTCACAACAAATACTGGCACTCTGCTCTTTATTAAATGCATACTTTTGGCCCATTTCTGCACATAGAACAAAGAAGTTAGTAAATCATGATTCTGAATTTAAAATTCATCTTTCTTTCTTTTTTTCTTTCTTTTTTTTTTTTTTTTTTTTTGAGTCTCACTCTGTCACCCAGGCAGGAACGCAGTGGTGCAATCTGGGCTCACAGCAACCTCCACCTCCTGGGTTCAAGCAATTATCCTGCTTCAGCCTCCCGAGTACGTGGGATGACAGGCATGTGCCACCATGCCTGATTAATTTTTGCATTTTTGGTAGAGACGGGGTTTCACCATGTTGGCTAGGCTGGTCTGAAACTCCTGACCTGAGGTGGTCTGCCCGCGTTGGTCTCCCAAAGTGCTGGGATTACAGGCCTGAGCCACTGTGCCAGGCCTAAATTTAAAATACATCCTTCTGATTAATTTACTTTATTTCATTTTTTTTTTTTTGAGACGGAGTCTTGTTCTGTTGCCAGGCTGGAGTACAGTGGCACGATCTCAGCTCACTACAACCTCCACCTCTGGGTTCAAGTGATTCTCCTGCCTCAGCCTCCTGAGTAACTGGGACTATAGGCATGTGCCACCACACACAGCTAATTTTTGTATTTTTAGTAGAAATGGGGTTTCACCATGTTGGCCAGGATGGTCTCGATCTCTTGACCTCATGATCCTCCCGCCTCAGCCTCCCAAAGTGCTGGGATTACAGGCGTGAGCCACTGCACACAGGCTACTTTATTTTGTTTAACTCATCCTTAGCTTTACTTTCTTTTTCTGCCCAGCCATCAGCACGTCCTTCATCTTCAAGCACAGACTTCTTTTCAGTTGTAATATTCTCAAAATTAGCCTACAATATTTTTTTTCCTTGATAGAAACAAGAAGGCAAAGTGGTATTTCTTGTAATGTGGACTGTGGTCTTCCTGCATCAGAACATTCTGATGAGTTTGTTAAAAACAGACTTTTGACCCCACTTCAAAACAGAATCAGAGGCCATGGAATGGAGTTTGGGAAACTTTTTAACAAGGTTCCCAGCTGATTGTGTTAATGCTCTGGATGGAGAAGCACTGCTATCGACTATGCAAAGAGGACAGTTAGTAAGATGAAATAAATTTTATGTAAATGAAAAGAAAGCAGCTGCCAAGAGGACAAAATATTATCCCTTTCATTATGCTCATTTCAGTGGTCTCTCAGCCTTATAAGCCTCATGTATCAATGTTCCATACAACCCAGCAAGAATAAGAAATACCAAGAAATAAGTCACCTTTGCAATAATGATCCAATTGGCTCCAGATTCCCTGGTCTGTACAGAAAATGATGCCCTTTCCCACTAACAGGTAGCCGGGGTCACAAATGTAGCTGATTGTCATCCCAGGAAGATATAGAGTTACGTGTCCTCCAATGTAATGCCCGTTCTGGATCTTGGGTGGATGTGGGCAGGCTAAGAACAAGTTCCCACACAAACACAAGAAAAGACACTCAGTTAAACATAGGCATATGAACACATGAACATATCCAATATCTCTGGCTATTAGAGGTTCATGAAGACCTGAGCCAGCCAGGTCATAAGCCACTCACTCCTATTTGATCAGTGAAAGACAGGTTCTCTAAACCTAGACTTCTTGACATTTAAACACTATCCTTTACAGTCTCTAACTTCAAACTGGGTCAGATGGGGAAGCACCACAGGGATCGACAAGCTAGCAATTCAGTGCTGTTCTGTCCTTACTGGAAGATGGAGCTGGTATGGGCAGTCATAGCCACACATGTGCCTACAGTTGTCAGGTACTGTCATTTAAATCCAGACTAATATATCAAAGGAATGAGCTATGGAGGCTAAAAGTACAATCTCTCTCTCTCTCTCTCTCTCTCTCTCTCTCTATATATATATATATATATTTATATATATAATACCACACTCTCTTTATATATGTATATATTTAAAGAGAGTACAATCTCTCTTTTTATATATATATGTGTGTGTGTGTGTGTGTGTGTGTATATATATATACACTTTAAGTTCTAGGGTACATGTGCACAATGTGCAGGTTTGATACATTGGTATACATGTGCCATGTTGGTTTGTTGCACCCATTAGGCTAAGAGTACAATTTTAAACTCTGCTTCTCCAGGGCCTCCTGAGTTCCCTTTATTAATATTGAGGTGAAGGACCAAATAAACATAGTCAGTGGCTTGAACAAACCCTTGGAAACAACATAAAAAGTATAAATCCCTACATCTGAGTTTCTTAAATTACTTTTATAGCACTATCAGTTCTGAAGTAAATTATGTCGTCATCGTATACTTTTTGTGCAGCACATCCATCTATCCAGGATAAAGACAACTCATAGTAGTAGACGTAGAATAAAAGAGTATTTTCTTTAGCATTTGTTTTCAGTACTTTGAAAATATTCTCTACAAAATTTGGACCTCACCAATTCTCTTCACTGTCCACCCACTTCTCTCCTTACCATCCCACACTCCTCACCCCATAGGAAGGACCATCAGAATACCAACAACTGAGACACAGTGTGCCTACTAGAACCCATTTGTCATTCACTTGGGAGGTAGTTCTGTCTCTGACATTCATAGCAAAGCCATTTTCACAAGCAAAAATGACTGCCAGTATAGAAATATGGAGGTTCTCACCTCGATATTCTGAACCCATTTAGGATATGTGGAAGCAGGTACTAACCAGCAGGAACAGAAAGTTCACAGCGAGGGGCGGGGCTGCTCCAAACCCCATTCCCTTGAAGGTCACTTGTGCAGCGGATGGTGCTCTCCCCAATGAGGTTGAAGGTCATCCCTCTGTCTGGGTGGGGGTCGCATGTGTAAGATACTTCTTTTCCATAGGGAATATCTCCAAGGGGAGCTCCTGTGTGTCTCCCATTAAGGATAGCTGGAGGATTTGGGCAAAAGATTTCTAGAAAGAAAACAAGAGCTTTAAGTTCTATTAGAGTTTCACTTAAGATGACTGAAATAATAGTGACCTGTGACTGTGCGTTTAGAAAGAATATAACTAAGGCGGACGGAATTTAAATCTGTAAGGCTTTTGTTGAGAGGCAACTAACTGAAGTGAGGCCTAAATTACAGTTTATTGCAAAAGCCCAAAGTGTTCCTGGGCCACCCGGGTACCTATGTTCGTTATGAATTTGAAAAGTAATTGTTTTAATTTTTTAAAAAGGACCCATTTGGTTGCCCACTTTAACTCAGGCATAGTAAGATGCCTGGGTTGACAATGAGGTTCAAGACAGACAAAGTTTTGGTCATCAGAGACCATAAGTTCCAAGGAAATCTATGAACTTTAATAATCATGAACTATCATCTTTAGCAATGTAAATGTTTCTTGGTGATTCAAGACCATTATCATCAGGACCAACACCAAATTTCCAGTGGCGTCATCAGACACCAGTAAGGCTCTTTTGACTCAGATTAAATGGTGCCAAAGAGCCCTTTTTTCTTTCTTCCAATTTATTAACCATCATTTCTTCCTCCTTTTAGTCTGCTTAGAACAGTTCCTTCCCTAAAAGCACTTGATGCTTCTAATTTGATATGAATTTAGGAAGAGATGCCCAAGTTTATCAGAATTATGTGTATAAAAAAGACTTAGTACATCAAACAATGATTGACTTCTCATGCTTGAATTTTACCTGTTTGTGTTTTCCTAAGTTTATTTATATATTTATTTTCAGCTTTATGTGTCTCTGTAAGGTTGAGTTTGTTGAATACTTGAGTTTCCTCAGGTATTAAATGTTCTTCACCATAATACTCACCATAAGGTATCCGAATTGATTTCTATAAGTTATTTTAACACAATACAAATTAAAATAAACATTTTCCAATAATCAGGAAAAAAAGGTTTAAAAAATTCTTGCCTTGCTTTAGTAGACAGAATAGAATCAATCAGTAATGCCTTGGTATGTCAAACATGTACTTTTATCTAAGAGTTTCTGAATTTTTTCTGAACTTCAGCATATTTTATTTAAGCGGATGGTTTGGAAACTTAGGGCACTAATCATCATTTCAGACACTGATTCATCATCCCAGCTCCTTCCACCATACTAATTTATCATGTAACTCTGTTTTATTTTCTCTATAACATGCCTATTTAAACTGCCATTTTATGTACTATAATTTTTAGAATTTTGTTTACTTATTTATTTCCTTGTTCACAGTCTGCTTCAAGAAAATACACCCCAGGAAAGTAGGGAGGTGTCTTCACTATTCACTCGCTATTCGTTGCTTTTTCTACTCATGGAAAGTCCTGGCACACGGGAAGCCCTATGTCATTAAATGCTGCAGGTCAAATAAGAAGCTGACTAAATTGTTTATGACATGTGAGGGGATAAAAGAACATAAAAATTTGGCTGGGCATGATTGCTCACACTTGTAATCCTAACACTTTTGGAGGCCAAGGTAGGAGCATATCTTGAGCCCAGGAGTTTGAGACCAGCTGGGGCAATATGGCGAGATTCTATCTCTGCAAAAAATACAAAAATTAGCCAGATGTGGTGGCATGCACCTGTTGTCCCAACTACTAGGAGGCTGAGGTGCGAGCCCAGGAGATTGAGGCTGCAGTGAGCTGTGATTGCACCATTCCACTCTGTCCTGGGTTACTGTGTCTCAAAAAAGAAAAAAGAAAACATAAACATTTAAGAAAGATTCCTCCTTGATAAGAAAACTAAAAATAAATGACTAACTAAAACGTGCTGCACCTTTATGTCATCTAGTTTCTTGCTCACATTCCCCACAAAGTTAAACACTGTCATTAAACTAAGTGATTTACAGATTAGTAACAAAAACGCATGTCAGAGAAGACCTACAAGACCCTTCTTGAAATTCTTCCAACAAAGAAGTATTTTTTATCCGTAATTTAGTTAAGTAAAGATCCAGACAACAGGTGATTCCATGAGGAAAAACACACTGGAAAACAAAGATAAGGAGCGTTATCCAAACCACATAGTTCTTTCTACTCACGTTCACATACTGGAACACTGCTATTCCAAAGGGCTTTCATTCCAGCCAAGACACAATGACTAGCAGACCTGCCTTTTAATCGGAACCTAAAGAAAAAAAAAAAGTGGTAGCAAATGTATGAGCAATTCCCATCTCTCCCTTGATTTCTTCACTAACAGATGCTCAGCTTCCTCACTACCATTTTCCTCCTTGACTATCATTTGGTTCTTAGGTTCAGGCCCAGCTAAAACTCTTAGTTCACTGGGGATCTGAATTCTTCAGTAGCTGGCAGAAACTCAAAGGCCAATTTACTCTAAAGAACCATGGTACCCTGTGACTGGCAAAGCAATTGGAGCTGATGTGCATAATTGCCATATAAACTTCATAGCCCAGCATCACCTACAGAAGGCATGAACACAGAACCAGACTTCTCCATGGGCACCCTCAGGTGTCATCTTTCATTGATGGCTCTCTGACATCCCACTTATTCTCATTAGTGGGTCATGAGGCAGAACAACTCTCGATTTGGTAAGCAAAGCCAGGAACATCTAGAAAGAGAATGTGGGCACTGTTCTTCTTGCCACTACAATTGTAACGGGCCAGAGGAGGCTCACAGAAGCATGCTGAACCACGTGCTCTAAGAAATAAAGAAGAGGGGGGTAAGAGTCTTTGCTGCCCCGAAATGCCCAACTGATTATTGAGTCCTGCTTCCCTTCTGAAATCTGAAATCATTCTGAAATTAGACATCATTATTGGATGGTGCACTTTGTAAATGCCAAAGATTCCTTGGAAATCATTAAAAATAACTGCTTAATTGCCCAATCTAGTTATCCCTCCAGACTCATAGTGCACACCACCAAGAGTAATGGATACACATAAACAACTAATAATACCACTTGAAACTGATAGAAGCAGGAGGCAGACAAATCCTAGGCAGATGGGGCGGATCCCGATGAAACCCGACCTTGAAGTTGAAGACAGTTTAAAGCCTCGCTACAAGTTCCAGGTAAATCCATGGACTGGCTTGAAAACCTCTCTTCCTGTTTGGTGTGCTTTCCTCTGATTGCTCCTCACTCTTCATCTGTTTTACATATACCTGCGCTTCCCTAATTGGTTTTTACACTGCTGTGCCCACCTTTGAGTGGTGTCTTTGTTTTAGTCTTTTTTGCATACTCACAAACCAATCAGCACAGGCTCCCCATTCTGAGTCCATAAAAGCCCCAGAACCAGCCACACTGAGGGACAGAGAGAGACCCCCTGACTTCATCTGGGGGACCACCTCGTGTCTCCTCTCCGCTAAGATCGTCGCTCAGTAAAACTCTTCTCTACCCTCCTCACCCTTTCATTGATAGCATAACCTTATATTTCTTGGATGTGAGACAAGAACTCAGGACCCACCAAATACAGGTACAAAGAAGCCTGTAACACTGTGGCCCTCCGCCCTCTGCTGTGGGAGGGCAGCTGCACCACGTGACAGGAAGCAGCAGTGGGTCAAGCCAGCCCCAGAGATGCAGGCCTGAACGGGGCTACAGGATTGACAGAGCTGTTAAACACACCGCCATCTGTTGGGCTGCGGGCATTATCAAATACTACGAGCTGTTAGCGTGCTGTAATACCCGCTCTGGGCTTCAGGGTCGTGGGCACCCCTGTTTGGGCACCACCACATTTCCTTCAGTGCGACATGCCTGGTCCAGCTGCAAGCACTGCTCGGACCCCATTCCTGAGCAGGTGCTTGGAGTGGCCAGCTGGACCCCACACTTGCTCACTCAAACACCCCCTCCCACCAGGGGCTGAGTGTGCAGTCGTGGGGGCCCCAGGGTCTGAGTCAGAGCACCAGCCAGGCGCTGCCTGGTGGGCCGAGTAGATGTGGTGTTTCCTGCAGTGAGCCCGGGCCCACACAAGGCCTGGGCAGGGGCATTGCTGGCCAGAAGTCATTGGCTGGCAAAGTGGCTGAGAAGAATCCTGCATTAAAAGAATTACACTGGCCATTCCTGACCTGAAGATACATTATTGGGTGAAAACACACTTACCCATGCACTGTTACAGATTCCGCTGTTGATTGGTTTTAAGTTTCCTAAGCGACCTTTGCCTTCCTTATCATGGGACAAACAATTTTTGTCTTATTCCTCATTTTTTTTTCTAGCACAGCCTTTATAAAATTATGTTCTTTTGCCTCCAAATAAATACATACCCATTCACTTCAAGTTCCAACTGTGTACTCAAGATCAGTGACTGTATTTAGGTTTGTATCTGACATTGAGCTGTATGTGCCATTTTCTCATTGTCTTCTGAAAGTGGTGCCACTTAGTCCCTATCCTTATTTCTAAACTACCCTTCCATAAATTCATCTCTCTGGGTACTTCTTATCTACTAGGTCGGCTCCTGGTTTGGATTAACCCCTGAACTCACAGAAGTGATTCTCCACACTGAGTCCTTGGTCTCAACCCTGGGTCATACTCACCCTTCATCGCAAACAAAGGACACCTTTGCTCCAAGCTGGAGATTGAATGGAAACAGCACACGGCCATGAGGGAGTTGTCCCAGGAATTCATCACAGGATTTCACTAGAAGAAAAAAATAAAACAACAGGAGTAAGACCTCCATGTGAGGGGGAAACAGCAATCTGGAAGCCAGAGAGTCAAGGCACCTGTACATATGGGGGCTTCAGGGCTCCAGTCTCCCTGGGGCGTGCAATGCAGAGACGCAGCCCCTCTGAGGTCATAGCCGGGCTCACAGCTGTAGAACACTTCCTGCCCAGGTGAAAAGTTGTCCTGATGGCTTGGAGTATGCTCACCATGCAGGATTTCTGGAGGCGGCTGACACACTGTGGAAAGGACAGTTCCAGAGCACTTGTTAATTATGGGGGAATTTCCTTTGCTACATCTTAAGCTAGCCTGAGAGCTTAAAAATCGTCATTGCAGAGGGCAGCTATTAAAAGAGAAGATTGGTAGTTCAGTAGCCGCACGTCACTAACAAGGAAACCAAGGATACCAAGCAGAACTGTGACTAGAATCAAAGTCTCTCCAACACCTTGTCTGTGTTTTTTTTTCTACTGAAACATGTTCCGAAGACTACAAGGCAGCATATTCCTCTTGCTTTCAACTACTGGTTATGGAGCACAGAGTCGTGAGTGTTGGTGGCTTGGCCGCTCTTCCATTTCTACAGAGGCAATCCCTCAAGCTCACGCGTAAGGCAGCAGCAAGGGGTACTGTTGCCAAGGTCTCATCTAACAGACACCTTCACCTAGTCTTCATTTTCGTCACTCCCTGTCCCTCTTTCAGCCAGCACAAGGCTGAACTGTTAGCTTCCTTTCTGTCCCTGTGTCCAATTCTAATTCTTCCCACTCTGTGTTAAGCCAGTCATTTCAGCTAAGAAAAGAGGAGGCATCAAGAACAAAGTCATGGGGGCAGGGGGTGAGGGTAGGGAGGGGAGGTGGGGACAGTTAATGGGTACAAAAAAAAAAGAAGAAAGAATGAATATGATGTAGTATTTGATGGCGTGACAGGGTGACTGTAGTTAGTAATAACTTAATCATAGGTTTAAAAATGAAAGAGTGTAATTGGATTTTTTGTAACACAAAAGATAAATCCTTAAGGGCATGGATACCTCATTCTCCATGATTATTTTACATTGCATGTCTGTATCAAAACATTTCATGTACCCCATAAATATATACACCTACTATGTACCCACAAAAATTAAAGATTAATAAATTAAAAATAAACAAAAAGAACAATCCCCCCTCAAAGAAAAAAAAAGCTACAGACATTTTAGTGATAGAATCTATTGCTTAGACCATATTTTAACCTAAATATTGGCTGCCTCCATGCACAGGACAATTGGTGTGTTCTCAGGGCATCAAAATGCAGGCATGGTGGCCCAGGCCTGAAATCCCAGTACTTTGGGAGGCTGAGGCAGGAGGATTGTTTGAAGACAGGGGCTCAAGATCAGCCTGGGCAACATAGCAAGACTCTGTCTCTAAAAATAAACAAAAATTAGCCAGATGCGGTAGTGTGTACCTGGAGTTCCAGCTACCTGTGAGACTGAGGCAGGGGTCTTACTTGAGCCCAGGAGTTAGAGGCTTCAGTGAACTATGATTGTACAATTGTACTCCAGCCTGGGCAACAGAGTGAGACCCTGTCTCAAACAAACAAACAAACAAACAAAACAATCAACAAACCTCCAAGAATGAATTTGAGCCTCAATCTGAACCATATATAATTATATATCAAGTATATATATGTGTATATATATTTGTTTGTATTTGAGTGAAACACTTTTTCTGAGCTTCAGTCTTTTCAGTTATAATGTGAAAGAGTTGAAGTCCAAGGCCTTTTTGATTTGATGCTCTCATTTTGGTCCTCATGGCTCACTTGCCTACTGCCCCACTCCAGGGATAGAGATATGATCACCACTATTACTCATTATTGTTCATTAGACATTCCACTGTACATGATCATTAGGCTCTGGAGTCAGAGCTTTGGAAAAGTTCTTTAATATCACTAAGACTCAGTTCTCTCAAAGTAAAATGGGGATACCAATAGTAGCTACCTCATATATTCACTGTAAATGGTAAATTTAAAAATGCATATAAAATATGTCTACTATAGATGAGAGAACAAGCCATTACTTTGAGACAAGTATTAACAGAGATAACAGACAGTGAAGCTACTATAATGCTTAAAGTGTTTATGCCAATTTCATACTCCTTACACACTTCTTCCTTAATTTCAGCAACTCCTATCATCTATATATACCCTCACACCCAGCAAAGTATTGATGGCTCACACTCACCCCTGGAGCAGTGTGGCAGCTTGGGCCCCCATCTGTCGTTGGTCTGGCACTGCACAGTGTGGGACCCTACCATGACAAAGCCGGGCTGACATCTAAATCTCACGATCTCATTGAGGGAAAAGAAACTCCTATTTCCTGGTACTCTAATTCCGTTTTCAACTTCTGGAGCTGTGCATTTATTAGTAGAAATACATTGAGGGGGAGGGCTGCTCCAAACACCAACTTGATCATCTTTGCTGGTGCAATATATTGACCGTTCTCCCATGAGCTCAAACAGCTGTTCTCCATCTGGTCCAGTGTGGCACTGGTAAGTTACCACTGTTCCACTGTGAAAAGATGTTCTGTTGTTGCTGTAGAAGTCTCCATTGGATATGGTTGGAGGTGGCTTACAAGATATAACTGAGAGAAGGAAGAGTGTGGTAAAACAGCTTATTTTTTTAATAATGAATTATTTTACTATGAATTTAAATACCAAATGCAAATAATCCAATAATTTTCTAAATGGAATTACAATACTGTTATTTTCTTAAAATATTTGCTAATAATCAGACATTTTTACCTAGTTGAAATTTAGGTGTGTATGATACTGGTTCTGCTCATAGTTAAGTATTTCACCAAAAAAACATGTATTTTTTGGTTTACATATTTATAATTTTAAGTGGATAATACATGTGATTTTATCACAGATTGTTAAGGTACTTATCTACTGCTAGACATTTTCTCCTATAGGTTATTAAAGTAACCTCTTCGCAGGTTAAATATACCACTTCTGGCATTATTTATCAAGAAAAAGAGAGCAAAGGAAATACAAAAGATAAGGCATGAAAAATGAAATAATGGCAGATGTAGGGGCAATAAAATGATAAATGAACACTGTGTTCTGTCATAAGATAATAGTATTCACATATTGGCTAAGTGACTACACACACATACACACATAACTAGTGTTGACTCAATTAAATGATTACTGACCTATAAATGTAGAAGTGTAAATTTTTTTTTTAGAAGAATGATTAAATACTTTATTGAATATACAAACTTTGGAATATAATGCTCCCATTAAAAACCATTTTTCAAAGAATATTTAATGTCATGGAAAGATTTTTTTTTTGCATTCCTTTCTTTTTTTATGTTTTCAAGGTTTTATTATTATTACTATTATTATTACACTTTAAGTTCTAGGGTACATGTGCACAATGTGCAGTTTCATTACAAAAGGTGCCATGCCTAGAAAACTTCATATAGTAAACTGATAATTCTTTGATAACTTGAATTATTTCATAGAATTGCAAGTTCTTGGCAGGTATGAGAGGCACCTTGTATATATTCTCATTCATTTAGTCTTTAAAAGTCAATGTTAATTTAGCGGGGAGGAATATTAGTGAATACAATGAACACATTCATTGGAGGAAATTTTAAAAATATGGACAAAAAGAAAGAAGAAAATGAAAATGGTTCAAAGATAACTATTTGTAACAATTTAATTATATCCTCTTAGATACTTATGTGGATACATGCATATGTATGGATGGATGTGTTTTCTATACTACCATATTTGGTGGCTGAATAATAATCAGTCATGTAGCTTCACAGATATGCTCTTCCCACTTGGATGAGGCATCTCAACCTTTAATTCCTCATGGTGCACTTTTTTACATTTCTTAAAAACTTATAGCCATTAAAATACACCTTATTTTTTCTGCAAGCTATTTTCAAACCATGCTGAACATTTAGGTTGTTTAACATTTTCCACTATCCCAAATATTATTGCATTGAGTATCTCTGGACCAAAATTATGGGACTATTTCATGATTATTTTCTTGGGCTAAATTCTGGGAAACGGAATTGTGTGTCAGAGGGTGTTTACTTTCAGGCTTTTGTTTATATTGGCCATTAGCTTTCTGGAAATCTGTGCCTACTTTTGCTGCCATCAGTTCTGTGTGTGATGCTGATTTCTTCACAGCTATAACACTTTGCCAATTTGCAATCATTCTTTCATGTTTTTAAAGTTTTGGAGATTCATTTAAAAGTATCTTATGGGAAAAATGGAGGGTCAGCTAATCAAGAACAAATATGACTAAAGACATGAGCCTAAAAGAATTGAAGGAGGATTAGAACTCAAAATGACCAGAGGATTAGGGAAATTGCTAAGAACTGTAAGAAGAGTTCTTTTTATTATTTGGATTAGAATAACAAGAAAATGAGTAGCCTACTTTGTGGAATTGTAACCTGATAGATAGTAAGAGTTGGCAAAGACAGATCTAATTTTGTCTAATGCCTTTAAAATGTACTCATTAAGGACAATACTCTCTATACTGGAAAGGTTTACTATTGTAATAGGAAAGTAGAGCTATTTCGCCTGGGTTCAAGCCCACAGTTTCAGATAAATCACCTTTTAAGATAAAGAAAAGCCAGGAAGACCATGAAGCATCTGACTCCTATTTTCAACTATCTGAGAGACTACTTCGTGCAAGAAGGATTCGATTTATTCTTCATACTCCAGGGGCAAGTCAGGATCACATAGAGGAATTTGTGGAGAAAAGTATTTCAACTTACTCTCACAAATAGGTGCCTCCTTATCCCACGTGACATTATTGCCTGAGACGAGACAAGTAGTAGATGGGGAACCAATGAGTCGAAACCTAAAGCAAAGGATAAAAAATGATTGTACTCTACACATATTTCCCATTTAACTCACCATTTAGAACATAATAGCAGGTAGACACTAGATATTACAGGACAGATTACACCATGGCAGACCTCGGAAGGAAGAAACCCCATCTCCATCTGCAAATTAGTCCTTTCTTTTTAAGGACAAGCTTACATTTTGACCTCTCCAATTCATTTTTATTCCTAATCACTCACAACTCAATGAGATATTTCCCTTTTTCTTCATGGGACATTTTTGTATTTAAGTCATTCAGAAAGCTTGCAGTTATTTTATCCATGTGTACTTCCAGCAAAGAAATGACAAGCTCCTGGATTAAGTAGGGAAAATGTCTTACTGAAATACATAACACTATAGCACCTAGCTTAGAGACTTTCAAGCTTTGGGTGCTCAGATAGTCTCTTGCATAAAGGAAAGAACAATGGATTTACTCAGAAGAGTCAGTAAATGAGAGCCAGAGGAGACAGCTAAACACTCCTACACTTGAAATGTAAAAGGCAGGGATACTCACCCACTTTGCCATAAAACTGTCTAGAGCAGGCCACAAAATGTAGAACATTTTGTCTTTTAAAAAATTTATTAGGTATCCATAATATTAACTGTGAACAATGTCACAAAGAATCCTGAGCAAAGCTATTCATGTGTTCTGGTGTACAGCAGGGCTAAACTTGACCAAATAAAAATTAAAGGGTAAAATGGAATGCCATATAACGATGAGGCAGTAACCGCAAGAGTTAAGAACTTTTCCTCTTGATTATGCAAGAAATATGATCAGGCAGTAACCATTTGTAGCAAAGACTATGGTGCCATCCCCAGTATCCACTTTCCTCTCCTTCATTAGTAATGGAACCCTCTACTTTTAACTGGGCCATTGGCCACCTGCAATAAAGGTTTCACTTCTCATCTTTCCTTACAGCCAGGCACAGCCATGTTACTAACTTCTGGCCAGAGGATGTAAGCGGAGTGTCTTGTGCAACTTCTGGGAAGTGTCTTTAAAGGAATTGGCCTTCCCTTCTTCCCTGTGTCCTCTATACTGGCTGGAATTTGGACCACGAGATAAGATGGAGTCTCATTTTGAGGAGGTCAGAGTAGCAAAATGGAAGGAACCCAGGTTTCTGTGGATTATGGAGTCATTGTATAAAAGCTGGACTGCCTACTTTCGTGATTTTTAACCTGAGAGAGAAGTAAACTACTATCTATGTTTGAGATCCTGTTATTTTATGTCTTCTGTCTTTTACAGCTGGAATTCCTAACTGATATACCAGCTCTTCCCAAAACAGTGACAGAAAGCTAAAGGGAACCATGTGACTATGGCAATAGTAGTCAATGTTTTTGTAGACACAGTGAGTCTCTTTTACGTTTTAGGTAGTGATTGAATTTTACTTATTGCTAGCCTGTTTAATATAGGCTGTGGTGTAAAAACTTTTCAAGTGTGCCAAGAAAAAAAATCTTAAAAATTGCTGCAAATAAACAAGTTGAGAACCACTGGAGTATGGAAAGAACAGGATAATCCTGTTATTACCTGTGTTTTCCTCTGCCTGTCTCCTATCATACATTTAAAAGTTGTCTAAGAGCACAGGATCATGGGTGTCCTCTGACTTTTGGTCTCCTAGAGGTTGTTTTGGGTGTGCTTGCTAAGCTAGAGCTTAACGTAACTAAGCTAGAACATTGGAGCCAAAATGTGAAGCAGGTTCCAGCCTACGTATGGCTGCAAAAACACAGTGATTTTTTTTTTAATTTGATGTTATTTTTATGAACAAATAATAATTGCATATATTTATAGGGTAAAATGTGGTGTTTTGATATATGTTTCTGTTGCAAATGATTAAATTAAGCTAATTAACATGTCCATCACCTCACACATACTTCTTTGTGTCTGTGTGTGTGTGTGTATGTGTGTGTGTGGTGAGAATATTTAAAATCTACTCTTTTAGTAATATTTTTTTCTTTTCTTTCTTTTATTTTTGATAGGGTCTGGCTCTGTCACCCAGGCTGGAGTGCAGTGATGTGATCTTGGCTCACCGCAACCCTTGCCTCCCGGGTGCAAACCATTCTCCCACCTTAGCCTCCCAGTAGCTGGGACTACAGGTATGTGCTGCCACACCCGGCTAATTTTTGTATTTTTTGGTAGAGACAGGGTTTTGCCATTTTGCCCAGGCTAATTTCTAACTTCTAGGCTTAAGCAATTCGGATGCCTCTGCCTCCCAAAGTGCTACAGGCATGAGACACTGTGCCCGGCCGGCAATTTTGAAATACACATTATTATTAACTATAGTCATCACACTGTGGAATAGATCTCTGAAACTTACTCCTTCTGTCTAACTCAAACTCTGTGCCCTTTGACCAAATCTCAGCTCCCCAGCTCTTCGTGCCTGGTAACCACCTTTCTACTCTCTACTTCTATGAGTTCAACTGTTTTAGATTTCACATGTAAGTAAGATCATGAGATATTAGTTCTTCTGTGCCTAGCTTATTTTGGAAGGTATTTTATGGCACAAAAACAGAAGGGATGTTAAAATGCATTTAAAATGCAAAATAATTGAAATGATGCAGGAATAGAGACACAGATCCCTAGAGCAAAGTGGGGGAAAACCCAAGAAATAGATACAAGTTTTTGTAAGAAATTTGCAGTGATAAAGATGGAATTTCAAGACACGGAAAACTGAATTATTCATTCATAGGACAAATATCTGAAAAGCTAAGCTAGATCTCTGCCTCATGACATGTGTATCAAAGATTAAATGTCAAAAATAAAACAATAAAAGAACTGGGTGATTTAGGCAAATGCTACTATGAACAACATTGATAAAATTGAATAATTACAAATAAACCTTTCTACATACAAATCCAAAGACAAACCACAGAGGAAAAATAATAAAAACAACTCTTATACATCAATTAGAAAAAGGTGAACAACCAAGTAGAAAAATGGTAAAGAATTATGAACAAATAATTTACAAAGGAAAAATAGAAATAGTCAAATTAACATATGAAAAGTTTAGCTTCACTTATAACATGATAAATACACTTTAAAATGCAAATAAAATGCCATTTTTGCCTATTAGATTGGCAAATTGACAAAACCTAGTAGTAATATAAACTCAAAGAAAGAGTCATTGTTGTGACTCACTCCACAGGTCATGATCAAAGTTTAGTGGAGGGCACTTTGGCAATATGTACTGAAAGGCTTAAAACCGTGCATAGCCTTTTACCCAAATCTGCAAATCTTGTCTCTTGTGTCGATGTGAAGATCTGAATCCTTAAGCTGTCTTTGAAGTCAGTGAAGTCCTCCCCTCATTTCTTTTCATGTGTACAGGATTGTGCATTGTAGTGTTTTTGCTAACAGCTGAAATGTGAAACCACTTTAATTCCAGATATTAAGGACTTTGTTAGGTAGGTTATGGACTATCCAAGTAATAACCAATATACAACCACTAAAAATGGTGTTGTAGAGTAATATATAATAATTAGAATAATTATACAATATCGTTCATAAGTATTAAAGACGGCTATAAAACCATGTACAATGTGAGTCGTTTGGTTTAAAATATATCTATATATAAAGATTTAAAGCGGTTAAATTTTTATTCATCCTTTCAGGAAAAAAACTGCATTTGTTTGAGAAACTACTTGAAGAAAAAGTGGGGACTATATGCAGACAGAACAATTCTGTTAAATACAGAGGTAAGGTATTTATTATTCCAGACAGGGAGTCCTAGGGAAAGAGCCTAGGCTTCAATAGAAGGATTTTACAGGCATGGGACATCAGGTCAGGAAAAATTACAACATAATGACACTACAACGTATGTGTGCCTTAAAATACCTTCCAAAATAAGCTAGGCACAGAACTAATACCACATGATCTTTCTTACATGTGAAATCTAAAACAGTTGAATTCATAGAAGTAGAGAGTAGAAAGGTGGTTACCAGGTACTGAGAGGTGGGTATCGAACCCACCTCTGGTCTGGTGTCAAACACCCTTCTTGTTATTATCTCAGAATATTCTTTTGGTGGGTCTCATGACAATTACAGACATCTTGTCAAATTCAAAAAAGAATGTCATTGGAACTGATAGGAATTACATTAAATTTGCATACTAATTCAGGGATAGTTAACATCACCACAACATTAAATCTTTTAAATAAAATGTTATATCCTCCATTTCTTCAAGTATTTTTTTATGTCCCCCTCTTTTAAATCTTCTGCTTATAAGTCCTATATATTTCTTGTTAAATTTCTTTCTGGATGATTTTGTTTCTGTTGTGAATGATATTTTTACTGCTTATATTCTATTTGGTTGTTACCTATATAAAGGAAGTAATTAATTTATAAGTATTTATTTTTTGCTAGATATCTCACTACTATTTCTAATTAGTTCTAATAACCTTTCAAACAATTCCTTCGGGTTTTCAGGTAAACAACCATCAGTTAATAATAAATTTACCTTCTCTCTCTCTCTAGCTATATCCATATGTATATCTCTCTAAATATAGGGGGCTGTCATTTTACTGGTTTGAATTTCCACAACTACTTTGAATAACAGGAAGGGTGCCAAGTGCTCTTTTCCTTTGACCTTTAATTACATTCAAGCATGCTTTTAGATTTTAAGCATTCATTATGTTTTTTGGCATTAGAGATTATATTTATATGACATTTAAGAAAAGTTATACTCTTTAATATTGTAAGTTTGTGGATTTCCTAATTTGGAACCATTTCTGGAATAACCCTACTTGTTCAGCTTGCATAATTCTTTTAATATTGTTTTTATTTAATATTCAAATTAAGATGTTTAGCATTTATATTAGCAAATGAGCCAGAGATATATTTTATTTTAATTTCATTTGTAATCTTTGGCAAAGTTTAATATGACTATAATTTTATTTCTGTGTTCCATATCAGTTTAAATAATATCAATACTTGGATTATCTATTTCTTGAAGCTTAAAAAGAGTTACAAAACTGGGCCATTGTCTTT